CCTTGACAATTTTTAAGTCATGGAACAATCACTGACTTTTCTGTTGATTATTTCCCATTGTGCTTTGCACAGTGATTTTTGCTTACACTCCCATGCAAAGGAAAGACTGCCTGTTTTGAGATGAATAAAAATAATCTGTTTAGAAATACTTATTTCAAACCTTGATATACTAAATAACGTTATGATAGATGAGTCATTTTCAATGGCTTTTATGTTTAGAGTCATTAAATATACTTCATATTTGAGGTTTTAAAGCATTTTTCTATAATTAGATGTTTTTAAAGTCTCTCCCTACTTTCTGGAGTTGCTGTCGACAATTTTGAGCCCGTTAGGGCATTTGAACTGTAAATGAGAGTGCTGACTTTATCTCCATTGTTGGCTTAGGAGTCAGCCTTTTCAATCTGTTTAGATTCCAGTTTATCTCTTGTCTTGCTTGGTGTTGAGTCTATTTATGCCTTTAAAATAATCCTTCTGTTTTTGTGGGGTTTCATGAGGGACTGAAAATTTGTGTTGCATCGATTCTAGCTAGAAATATATAAGATTTATTTATTTTATCTGAAAGACAGAATGACAGAGAGGGAGGGAGACAAACAACAACAGTTATCTTCTGTCCATCCTCTGGTTCACTCCCCAAACACCCGCAACAACCAGGAGCTATGCCAGGCCAAGGCCAAGATCCAGGAACTCCTATCAGAGTCTCCCACATAGATGGCAAGAATCCAAGTACTTAAGCCATTATCTGCTGCTGCCCAGGCACATCAGTAGGAAGCTGGAGTATAAGTGTGGAGTAGCTGGAACTTGAGTCAGAAACTCTGATATGGGATACAGGTACCCCAAAAAGCAGTTAACCACAGTGCCTGCCATTAGAAGCATATTTTTGATGGAAATTGAACTGAAGTCATACACTTAGAATTTGAAATCAGTTGCATAGGAGAATTGTACTGTTCTAACTATAAATGCCAATTTTTCTGATTTGAGGCAGAAATGAATGATACCTAATAAAAACCTGAATTTCATGATGAAATAATAATTTGTTTAATCCCCAAGTAAATTTATTCCTTTTTTTTTTTTTTTAAAGATTTATTTATTTGTTTGAAAGGCAGAGTTACAGAGGTGGAGAGAGAGGTTTTCCATCCACTGGTTCACTCCCCAAATGGCCGCGTGGCCGCAATGGCCGGAGCCAGGCAGTTCTGAAGCCAGGAGCCAGGAGTTTCTTCTGGGTCTCCATGCAGGTACAGATATCCAAGGACTTGGGTCATCCTCTGCTGCTTTCCCAGGTCATAGCAGAGAGCTGGATCAGAAGTAGAGCAGCCAGGACTAGAACCAACGCCCATATAGAATGCTGGCACTGCAGGCAGTGTCTTAACCTGCTATGCCACAGTGCCAGCCCCCATATCCCCTGCCCCAAGTAAATTTCTTCATGAATGAAGTTACTGGTATTCTTTACTCCTAGCATATATGTAATGCATATTATTTTGAAATTGAGATGTACAATTAAAATACATATATTGAGTATCCCTGATTTACAGAATTGAAATAATAAACTTTTATATACCCTCATTATATTTAAATAGAGCTCCAAAATGTGCTGTTACAGTTTTTATTTATTGAGAGGCATGAACATTTGCATGCACACACACATGAAGAAAGTTTCCGTCCACTGGTTCACTTCCAACGGCCAGGTGTCTTCTGTGAGTGGCAGAGACCCGAACCACTGGAGCCATCACACGCTTACTCTCGGAGTGTACTTCAGCTGGAAGCTGCAGTCAGGAGGGAAGCTCGAATTCAAACACAGGCACTCCCATATGCTATGTGAATGTCTTAACTGCTAGGCCAGACATCTGCCCCTAATTTTCACTTTAATGGAAATTTTCTTTAAAATCCTCTCAGAATATTCTGGCTAGAGTTAACTAGTCATTAGGTCCCTGATTTCTTATAGAATTTCAGCAGATGGATGGATTTATTTATTTATTTAATTTTTTTTTTATTTTTTTTATTTTATTTTTTTTTTTAATTTTTTTGACAGGCAGAGTGGACAGTGAGAGAGAGAGACAGAGAGAAAGGTCTTCCTTTGCCGTTGGTTCACCCTCCAATGGCCGCCGCGGCCGGCGCGCTGCGGCCAGCGCACCGCGCTGATCCGATGGCAGGAGCCAGGAGCCAGGTGCTTTTCCTGGTCTCCCATGGGGTGCAGGGCCCAAGCACCTGGGCCATCCTCCACTGCACTCCCTGGCCACAGCAGAGGGCTGGCCTGGAAGAGGGGCAACCGGGACAGAATCCGGCGCCCCGACCGGGACTAGAACCCGGTGTGCCGGCGCCGCTAGGCGGAGGATTAGCCTAGTGAGCCGCGGCGCCGGCCTATTTATTTATTTAAAGATTTATCTATTTGAAAGTCAGAGGAGAGAGAGGGAGAGGGAGAGGGAGAGGTCTTCCATCTGATGGTTCACAGTTGGCTGCAATGGCTAGAGCCACGCCAATCCAAAGCCAGGATCCAGGAGCCTCTTCCCAGTCTCCCATGTGGGTGCAGGGGCCCAAGGACTTGAGCCATCTTCCACTGCTTTCCCAGGCCACAGCAGAGAGCTGGATTGGAAGTGTAGCAGATGGGTCTCGGACCAGTGCCCTTATGGGATGCCGGCACTTCAGGGTAGGGCATTAACCCACTGTGCCACAGCGCCGGCTCCAGCAGGTGGATTTATGTGTGTGTGTGTGTGTGTATATATATATATTTGTAAATAAATATGTCTTTATAAATAAATATATCTAATTGTAATACCTTTAAGTTTTAGTACATTTTAGAGGAAATGAGTATCAGTTCCGTTTTCCTGTTCTCATTAGCAAAAAACTCAAAAGCTGTCTGCCTTTATAGATTGACAGACTCCTGCAAAAATGACATAAAGAAATGTGTGCATATATGTGTAGTCGTGCATACTCAATTGATGCTCATTAATTGTGAATTTGCCTAGTCACTAAAATTTGTCATCCCAAATAAATACTTGTAGCACCTGTGAGAACATTCGAAGATGTACATAGAATAGCAAAACAATTTGAGGTGTCTAATGGATGCTTTTCCTGCAGAGGTTGAACAAGGAAGTACTTTGTTCAGATTCTCATGCTGTAAACAAGTCTGTTTTGCAATCTATTTATTGCCATAGGTTTTTGCATTTTTGCACTTATTTCTTAACCTAGCTGTCAGGTGTAGTGCTGCAATGCTGTAGAGTGCAAGGTGGCTAAGATATGCCTTCATAGAGAAAGTATGTGTTATGTAGGTGGCTGGCTTTGAGCACAATGTTAATTAACAGTCTATTCTTACATTAAATAAGATGTCTTTTAATAAAAGTATACAGAAAAATATAACACAGAAAAAACACAATCAACTGATATTGATTGGTTTACTAAAATGTTGTTAAAGGGCCTAATCTTGTATATTTCTTAAGGAGCAGTGGTTCAGCTCTAAGTCACCAACTTAGTGTTCATGGTGAATTAAAAAAAATAACTGCCACAAATATTGATAGTTGACTGTGTATATGTAAACTGGTTATAACATTTATCTAATTCACTCGTTGAATGAAATACTTAAGACATTTTAAGAATGTAAATTTAGATAATAAGCTTTTGACAGTTTCATAAATTGTGTAACCAAATTGTTTTGCAGGAAAATTGTATTTGGAGTGCAAAGTGTTTATTAATGCTGTTAAAGGTTTTTATGATTGTGTTTTTTGTGGTTAAAGAAAATTTACTGTTTTAACCTTTTCAAATGTATGGTTCATTGAGTTAAGTACATTTACATTGTCCGACTTTTGGAGGTTTCTTTTTCTCTATTTTTTTCAAAAAATTTGTTTATTTGAGAGAGTTACAGACAGAGGGAGAGACAGAAAGGTCTTCATCTACTCGTTCATTCCCCAAATAGCCTCAGTGGCCAGAGTTGGGCCTAACTGAAGCTGGGAGCCAGGAGTTTCCTCCCGGTCTCACACACAGGTGAAGAGACCCAAGCTCTTGGGCCATGTTCTGCTTTCTGAGGCCACAGCAGAAGCTGGATTGGAAGAGGAGCAGCTGAGACATGAACTCATACTGGAAGCCGGCGCTCATACTGGAAGCCGGCGCTGCAGGTGGAGGCCTAGCCTACTATGCCAGATCACTGGCCCCATCTTTTTTTTTTTTTTTTTTTTTGACAGGCAGAGTGGACAGAGAGAGAGAGAGACAGAGAGAAAGGTCTTCCTTTGCCGTTGGTTCACCCTCCAATGGCTGCTGCGGCCGGCGCACCGCGCTGATCCAATGGCAGGAGCCAAGTGCTTCTCCTGGTCTCCCATGGGGTGCAGGGCCCAAGGACTTGGGCCATCCTCCACTGCACTCCCTGGCCACAGCAGAGAGCTGGCCTGGAAGAGGGGCAACCGGGACAGAATCCGACACCCCGACCGGGACTGGAACCCGGTGTGCTGGCACCACAAGGCAGATGATTAGCCTAGTGAGCCATGGTGCCAGCCATCTATTTTTTTTTTTTTTTAAGATTTTATTTATTTGAAAGGCAGACGTAGAGAGATAGAGGGAGAGACAGAAAAAGAGAGAGGTCTTCCATCTGCTAGTTCACTCCCCAAATGGCTGCAGTGACTTGGCTGGGCCAGAATGAAGCCAGGAGCATCTTCCTGGTCTCCCAAGTGGGTGCAGGGGCCCAAGGACTTGGGCCGTCCTCCACTGCTTTCCCAGGCACATTAACAGGGCACTGGATCAGAAGCAGAGCAGCTGGGAATCTAACTGGTGCCCATATGGGATGCCAGTGCCACAGGTGGCATCTTTGCCCACTACATTGCTGGCCATGTTTCTTTTTTAATAGGATTACAGATCTTAGTAAAAGAATTAAGTGTATTTACTTGTGTTTACCATTTACTTAAGATTTATAATGCAGTTTAGATTAAGAATTTTTGATGAGTAGATCATGGGGTAGTGCTGTTCAGTGGCTTATTATTTAACTGAAGTTTCTTTGCACTCACATCCATCTTCTCTTTTAGTGCTTTTTTAGGACCAAAGGATATTTTTCCTTACTCAGAAAATAAGGAAAAGTACGGCAAACCAAATAAACGAAAAGGTTTTAATGAAGGTTTATGGGAGATTGATAACAATCCGAAAGTGAAATTTTCAAGTCAACAGGTGAGTCATATTACATAAAATTTAGTATTATTTACTCCATCTTGGGGAATAATCAGTACCCTAATTGTAGGAAAATAAATGTCTTATCACAAAATTCAGGTTAAATTGGTGTGTTCTTACTTGTTCATGTGTAGATGAATTGATAAAAATTACTTTGCATGGCTAAGCATTTTAAAGAAAACAAATACTCAGTTATTAACTTACTGATTAAGGGTTTATTATTTGACACATCATTGAAATTAAATTTTTTGTAGTTTGAGAGGCAGAGAGGTATAGGCCAAGTGAGCTTTCCTCTGGTGGATCATTTCTCAGATGCCTACAATGACTTGGCCAGGAGCTAGGAACTCATTCCAGGTCTCCCCATTAATGGGTAGAAGGAACCAACTACTTGAGCCATCAGTGCTGCCTCCCAGAGTGTGCCTTAGCAGGAAGCTATGATACAGAATGTGGGTACCTTAACCTTGGTCAAACTCCTGCTGCCTATATTCTTGAATTTAAACCATGTGTGCTATTATTTTTTTCCTTCTTAATTCAGGTTCTGTAATTTACAGAGTGTGTGCTTCAGTTTTCTTATTCTCTATTTATATACATAATATTAGAATATGAACCTCACATGGGTCAAATGAAATGGTTACAAAAGTACAACACTGCAGATTAAATATACCACATCTAAAACGGCAGACTTATTAGACCTTTTCTTTTCTCTTATTTTTGTGTGTCCAAAGGTTTTGTTAATTATACATGACACTAAATTTTTCATGGAGTGGTTGGTACCCAATTTGTATCATTTTTTTCATACAACAGAACTTACTGTTTCTCTTTTTTTTTTTCTCTATTCTGTCTGTTAGTACTTAATGATTTTTTTTTTCTATATTGTCAGTTGCACTCTTGAGCTATGTAGTCCTAAAAGTTTATCCTAAAACGCTTATGATTTAAAATAAACCATCCAGGTTTTATAATGGGACCAGAAAGCTGTAAGTGGAGATCTTTATGAAACTATTGATAGCTTCTCATTTGTCAATAAAAGTTCTTTTATTAAGACTTGAGTGGTCAGCAGCTGGAGAGAAAACCGAACATTCTGCAACTTTGTACTCAGCCTTTTTAAAGTTCTTCACAGGAGTGCTATGCTTGTCTCACCTTTGAGAACTTTTCAGATGCTCCTTTATCTGGAATATAGAAATCTTTGATGCTCCAGGGTTGCAGTTATGTGCCTTGATTACCATCTGTTACTTTGATATTTGTCAGTAACTGCCACAGATTTTATACACACACACACACACACACACACACAACACAACACACATAAAGAGAGAGGGAAACAGAGTGAGTGAGCATAAATATTCACTGTGTATGCATTGAATGGATGCTAGGTTTCCCATCATTGCCCTGACAGTGTAATGGGAGGAATTTGTCTAAATAAATGAAATGGATTGTTTCTGAAATTAACATTTCGCAGTTCTGTGACTGCACTGTCATGATCATGATCCTTTTTGTCCTCCAGATTGCCCAGCATGATAATCCTGTCCTCTATTCTGTCTCCCTACTTAATCCCCAGGTAGTTTTCTCCCTGTAGAAATGGGATTTTCTGCTCCACCATGAAAGCCTTGGTAGGTTGTGTGGATGCAACCAAATTAACTTTTCTGTTTTTATCAAAGTATGAATGATTGTGCTGATCTGATATACTCTTGTGATTCCCAGGTCCAGACACATCCACAGTGTCCCATATTCTAGGGTTTTGGAAAAGCAGTGATGTCCACATTTAATTAAAAAAAAGATTGGTTGTCATGATTTTTAAAAATTCCTATATCACTATAAGTAATCTTCAGGGCATTTTTAAAAAAGATTTATTTTTATATATTTGAAAGCGTTACAGAGAGAGGTAGAGACAGAGAGAGGGGTCTTCCTCTGGTTCACTCCCCAGACAGCCGCAGTGGAGCCAGGGGCTTCTTCCTGGTCTCCCACACGGGTGCTGGGGCCCAAGGACTTGGGCCATCTTCTATTGCTTTCCAAGGCCATAGCAGAGAGCTGGATCGGAAGAAGAGCAGCCGGGACTAGAACTGGCACCCATATGGGATGCCAGTGCTTCAGGCCAGGGCTTTAACCTGCTGTGCCACAGCGCCAGCCCCCAGGACATTTTTTTATCATCTTTATAATAATAGAATATCAGCATTGTCTGCTTACAACAGAGGAAATAGGTTCAGTTTATAAAACTTCGCAGAGGAAACAGAAAAGGAGGTGGTTTGGGTTAGACTGCTGGAATCTACTAGATGTTGGCTTGCTCCATTCCCAAAAGTATTCTGGGTCGTTTCTGATACTCCCCCTTTTGACTGGCATTATGAAAGTCCAGGACTCCCAGACTTAAGTTTGTCTATCGCAGGGAAGAGTGCTTTTTAAAATTTAGCAATGATTACTGGACTAAACAGCTTTAAATGAGAATCACCCAAATTTGGATTTCAGGAATCAGCATTTTAAATAAACTGGGTTTTTTTTTTTTTTTTTTAAGATTGATTTATTTGAGAGGCAGAGACAGAGGGAGAGACAGAGAGAAAGGTTTTCCAACCACTGGTTCACTCCCCAAATGGCCACAGTGACCAGCGTTGAGCTGATCCTAAGCCAGGAGCCAGGAGCTTCTTCTGGTTCTCCCATGTAGGTGCAGGGGCCCAAGCACTTGGGCCATAGTCTTCTGCTTTTCTAGGCCATTAGCAGAGTGCTGGATTGGAAGAGGAGCAGCCTGGATTTGAACTGGTGCCCTTACTGGATTCTGGCACCGCAGGCAGAGGCTTTAGCATACTACACTACAGTGCCAACCCCCATAAACTGGGTTTTAATAGATGAAAGTCTAACTCTCACACTTTGTACAGGAATACAGTCCCTTATAAGACTTAAAAAGAAACATTGGCATTTAAAATTACTTTAAAATTGAACATATTTTAAGTGTCCTGTGGAGCAGAAATCAGAATACTTTTGTAACTTTCTTGTAAACAGGCTTTTGATTTTTCTCATGAGTGCAAAATTTTTTTAAGTTGGGGTAGAACCTTATTTTGTGAAATTAATAGTTGATTCCTTACAGGCATCAACTAAACAATCAAATGCCTCATCTGATGTTGAAGCTGAAGAAAAAGAAACTAGTGTTTCAAAGGAAGATACTGATCATGAAGAAAAAGCCAGCAATGAGGTATGTGTCATTTCTCATTCACTCTAAACCCATTTTGTTGCAAGGAAGAAATTGTGAAATGAATTGATTGTGACAAAGTAGAAAGTAAATTTTAAAAAATTTACCTGAGAGGTGGACAGAGAGGTAGTTCCTATCCACTGGTTCCTTCTCCTAATTCTTGGAATGATCAGGTAGGCCAGAGTTAGAACCAGAAGCTGGGATGATTACATTCCAGGTCTCCCACATGGGTGGCAGGAACCTAATTACTTGAGCCATCATTTTTGCCTCCCAGGGTCTGTATGCTTGGGAAGCAGGACATAGGAGCCAGAGCCTGGAATCCAACTCAGTTATTCCAGTTAGATGTGGGTATGTTAACTGTGAGGCTAAATGCCTGTCCCTGAGAGTAATCAGAAAGTATGTCAGAAATGAATGAGAAGACATTTGAGGCTTATATTTTGTATAACTGCCAAATGTCATAATTTGCATCTTTAAGAGGCATGGGTGTTTTATTTGAAATTATTTTTATGTTTCAAACATAAGGTCTGGGATTGGTGTTGTGTATAGCAAGTTAAGGTGATGCTGGCATTCCATGTGAGGATCAGTTTGTGTCCCAGCTTCTTCATTTCTGATCCAGCTCGCTGCTAATGACCTGGGGAAAGTAGCGAAAGAAGGTCCAAGTGTTTGGGCCCCTGTACCCATATGGGAGACCTGGCTGGAGTTCCAGGTTGCAGCCATTTGGGGAGCAAACCAGCAGATGGGAGATCTACCTCTCCCTTTCTCTTTGTAACTGCCTTTTCAAATAAATAAATCTTAAAACAAAACATGAAGTCCAGCTATGAGGTAATTAGTGTTTGTTAGGAATATTGTTAAATTTTATATTTTTATTTGAATGCCAGAGACAGGGAGATCATCCATCTGGTTCACGCTCCCAAATGCCTGTAATAATAGTTGGGGCTGAGCCATGCTGATGCTGGGAGCCTAGAACTCCATCCCTGTCTCCCATGTGTGTGCTTGAGCCGTTATCTGCTGCCTCCCATGTTAGCAGGAAGCTGGAACTCCATCTCGGTCTCCCATGTGGTTGGCAGGGGCCTAAGGCACTTGGGCCATCTTCCACTGCTTTCCCAGGCCATTAGCAGGGAACTGGGTTGGAGGAGGAGTAGCTGGGACTCGAACTGGAGCTCACTTGGAATGCTCGCATTGTAGATGGTAGCTTAACGTGCTGTGTTGGGTCCACATCTTCCCATATTACAGAGAGCTACTGCAGGTGGATGTATTGGAAAAGGCATTAGACTGAGTTGCTCTTAAACCTACTTGACTTGCAGCTCTGTAGTTCCAAGTGGGGCACTCTGCCTTTGTAGGCCTTAGGAAATGGTCATCTCCAAAGACCCAAGCCACCTGTAAGATTCACAGCCCTAAACTTCAATTTCTCCTGTAGAAAAGGTGGTTTTATACATTTAAACAGACAGACTTTCTGGGTATTAGCAAGCATGTATTAGATTTAGTCTGACTATGGCAATGTGTTTTCCAGATGAAGATAATAGCTATTACTTTCACTTTATAATGCCAAGACTTTCAATGTTTACAATTTCGAAGGCCAGAGAAGCAAGGCAATTTTCCCAGTGCTTTTGGTGAAACATGCTGGTTAATTTCAGTTTAAGAATGTTTCTTTCAGTATTTGTGTAATTTATCTAGTTTTATTGCTATTTGCTTTTTTTTTTCAGGATGTGTCTAAAGCAACTGACATCACCACTCCAAAAGCTGCTAGAAGAGGGAGAAAGAGAAAGGTACTTGCACTGATTAATTACAGGGATCTTAAAGGAATTTTTATTTTATTTGAATTGAATAACAGATAACAAACCCTTATTTAACTTGACCTTTACTCTGAGCCCTTTTTTAGATTAGACTGTTGAATTAGCAGCACTGTAAGGCTGCCACAAAACACCAAACACCAGAGTTAGAGGAAAGGTTTATTATCTGGTGGGGGAAGCTCAAAGGGAGAGGGCAAGAGAGGGCGCGAGAGAGGGGGAGAGAGGGAGAGAGAGAGAGAGATGTTCAGGAACAGCTCCTGTTAAACCTTGAATCCTATTAGGGTGGAGGTGGAGCTGACACATGTGGTTGGGCCATGTGGTCACCTGGCTTCAGCAGGGACTAGAGCTTAGGATGGTGTCTGAAGTGTAGATGGTGCCACAGATAAGAAGCACTGTTTGTTTTCTTAGTGCTTTACCACCCAACTGGAAATAAAATGCATCAGTTTTCATTCATTTCAGTGACTCTCTGCCTCTGTTGTCCCTGTAATATTGTAGTAATAAATCCTTATAGTTGAAAAGTGAAATGATTTAATACATGTAAAATGTTTATAAAACTGGTTCCTAAACACGCGTAAGTACATTATCAGTGTTGCCTGTGACGTTATTTGTTATGTAACTGCATTGTGTGAAATGAGCGTGTGTCAGTGTAGGGCCAGATACATGTTGTGCTTTTAATTAATGTGAATTTGTCCTTACCTATATGAGGTTTTATTCACACCTATTTCTGTCCTGTTGATGCCTCTATTATGTACAGATAAAAATAAAACCATGACTTCAGCATCTCATGAGGAAGCAAAATTTGAAAAATTATTAGTGATTTTTGTATCCTTTGTAGGTTAAGATGGGAAGGAATGGGGTAACTTTAACAAGATTTCAAAAGAGGCAGAATTTTGTCATGCACATGAAGGAGAGAGGAAAGACATGTGAGGCAATTTGAGTAGTATATACAGAGGCATACAGAAAATTCAAGTATTTTATATATTGTATTTCAGTCTTACCAGACTATAAACTCTTTTTTTTAAAAAAAGATGTATTTATTTATTTGAAAGTCAGAGTTACGCAGAGAGAAAGAGAGAGGGCTTCCATCCGATGGTTCACTCCCCAGTTGACCGCAATGGCCAGAGCTGTGCCGAGCAGGAGCCAGGAGCTTCTTCCAGGTCTCCCACATGGGTGCAGGGGCCCCAAAGCTTTGGGCCATATTCCACTGCTATCCCAGGTCATAGCAGAGAGCTTGATCGGAAGTGGAGCAGCCAGGACTAGAACCGGTGCCCATATGGGATGCCAGCGCTTCAGGCTGGGACATTAACCTGCTGTGACACAGCGCCGGCCCCAGACTGTAAATTTTGAGGGGAAAAAAGTGTTACCCTGAAGAACTGAAACAGAGATGTGGTAGGTAGGAAGTCACTGAATCATTTTAACATTTAGTTTCCTCCCTTTTATTAATTTAGTTTTTCAATGAGACTACTTTTAGAAGATTATTTATTTGAGAGACAGAGACAGAGACAGAGAGAGAGAGAGAGAGAGAGAGAGAGAAAGTTCCCATCCACTAGTTCAGTTCCCAATTTCTTTTGGGCCAGAGCCAAAACTGGAAACCCAGTCCAGGTCTCTCACATGGGTGGCAGCAACCCAAACATCGGACCCCTCACCATTGCCTCCCATGATCTGCACTATCAGGAAGATGGAGTCAGGAACGGAGCCAGGAACTGTTCCCATAAGGAATACGGACATCTTAAGTGGTGTCTCAACCACTAGATCAAAAGCCCAACCCAGAGATGCTTTATTTTTAAAAGATTTATTTATTTGAAAGGTAGAGTTAGAGATGGAGAGAGCGAGCGCGAGAGATCTTCCATCTGCTGGTTCATTTTCCAAATGCCTGCCACAGCTGAGGCTGGGCTAGGTGGAAATCAGGAGCCTGGAACTCCAACCAGGTCTCTGGCCCATCTTCTACTGCTTTCTTGAGCACATTAGTGGGGAGCTAGATCAGCAGCAGAGTAGCTGGGACTTGAACCGTCACTTACATGGGATGCTGGCGTGGCTGGCAGTGGTTTAACCCTCTGCACCACAAGGCTGGACCTTATACCTTCTTTTTTAAAGCAGTGTGATGATGGGGATTAGGTGGGGTTGCAAGACCAACTCCTTGAAAAATTCATTCAGAATTTTAGTACTGACTTCTGGGTCATGCATGGCATTGTGTAGTGAATAGAGAGAACATGGGTTCTGTTCTCATGGAAGCTGTGTTTTTTTTAATTGAGACAGAAAATAAGTGTATAAAACAAGAAAGTTAAAATGGAGAGTTAAGGTAGTCTGCTGATAACTGACTAGGTTAAGAAGGCCTTTTGAAAGTGCTGGTGTGAGAAGGACAAAGTGACCCTAGCAGTTCTTTCAGTAGTGTAGGAGATCAGATTTAAGAGCACTGGTGGTTAAGTTGATGGCTGATGGAGTGGACAGCAAAGGGAGAGGTAGAATCTAATAGGACTTGAGGGTGTTGGCTTGGATGACCACATTAGATACTGGAAATGGAGAAGTTAGTCTGGAATCCAAGTCATTGGGAGGAGGAAAGGAAGTATCTGTGGGGATTGTGTATCCTTTTGGAACCAAAGAGGGAAAAAAGAAAAGTTGAAGATGCAGTCACTGATATAAAAATAGAAGAATGGGTGAAGTCAAAGGGGAGGGTGCTTACTGGCAAGAATGGAGAAACCAGAATCCAGAGGGAATACAGTGGAGGGGAGGTGGGGGTTGATCCTCCACCATATTGTCGGGGGCCTGAGAGTGGACTGCAGAACCAGCGCCAGCAGGAAGAGGAGGCTCTTGGGACTGAGGGGATGCCTCATGGGCAAGTTGTGGTATTTGTCAGGGCCCCATTTCTTTAGGGGGAGCTCCATTTGGTTGAACATTAAGGGCAGAAGCCAGAAGCACTGTGTTGGAGACGAAAATGTGTTGTAGTGCAGTTACACTGAACTTCTGAAATCTGAAGAAAGGGGGAGCAAATTTGGTCATTTAATAAATTTGCATGGGCAAGGGGAAGTTTTTTTTTTTTTTAAGACTTAATTTATTTGAAAGAGTTACACAGAGAGAGGAGAGAGAGGTCTTCCATCCACTGGTGCACTCCCTAATTGGCCACAAGGGCCGGAGTTATGCTGATCTGAAGCCAGGAGCTTCCTCCTGGTCTTCCCATGAGGGTGCAGGGGCTCTAGGACCTAGGCCATCTTGCACTGCTTTCCCAGGCCACAGCAGAGAACTGGATCAGAAGTATGGCCTCAAAGGGGAGTCTTTAAAATTGAAAGATAATAAGAAGTTGCCTAACCTTAACCCTTTCTCTTAGCAGAACTAGGACAGATTAAAAATGTGGAGTCAGTATAAGTTATTTTAGTGTATGCTAGACAAGAGGGAAGGAAGGGCACATTAGTGGGAACTGAAGAGGAACAGTGCAGCCTCTGTAACGTAGAAAGAAAGTGTGGCGGAGACAAGAGTTTATGAGAAATCAGGGGAATTGCTTCTTACTGGCTTTAATCTCTTCCTTCAACCCCACCCAATTCAAAGTAGACTTAAGATATGGTGCAAGGAACAATGGATTGAAAGTTTGTGCTTGTTATTCAGTACCTGATGAAAGGGTTTAATGACTGGCTGAGATTCCAACAGATTGCATACATACAGTGAGTTGGTATAGTTATGTACCCCCCCTCCCCAAGCTGGGCTCAGCAGCTGGGAATAATGCCAGGAAGTAGAATTGTGTAGTGATCCACTGTTGCTGAATTGTGGGACAGGTGCTATAAAACCAGGACACAGGGGGCTTGGGAATGTATATGAGTAACAGTCCCCTGAGGTTTCTGTTGATAGAGAGTAGCTTTAGGGAAGATCAGAGGAAGTAGGGTAATAAGTTGGGGAGAAAATGAGTAAAAGGGCTAGAGGTTTCCGCAAGATCAAATGTATTGTGGAAGAAATCAATTCTGTAATCAGGGTATTTGTATTTTAAATCTTTAGATGTGTGTATACTTCAAATACTCCTCTTATTTTTCAATTTTATTTTTATGAGGAATGGTTTTGACTTGTATGATTTCACTTTACTAGTCAGGTAAAGATTATTTGCCTAATATTAGTGTTAATATATTTTTATTTACTAATTGATGGTTTTATTGTCTCTTATTGGTATCTCCATTCTACTTATAATTCTTGATGTCTTATTTCCACAAGCAGAAGGTGTAAGTGAAGAGGTTTTCTTGCCCTGAAGAGCACATTAGTTTGAACTGAATTTTGGAGAATGGTTGCCCTTTGTACACCTTAATAAGAAAAGAGCTCTTACACAGCAGGTCTCTCTCTACCTTGGGAACCTATGGAGCTTTATGGAAACACAGATGCCTGGCTCCCCTGACTTTTAACTGTGGAGTCAGGATTGGGGCAGGGTTAGTTGATGTGCAGGTTCTTAAAATTGTAAAAAGACAACCTGAGCTAATGCAGCAGGAGGAATTTTTGTAGCATTCCTGAGAACAATTCAAAGGTTGCCTTAGATGAATTTTAATACTTTGTATATGATTATGTTACAATTATGACAGATTCTTTGTGGAATTTGAGATTTAGATTTGAATGTTCTTTATTGCCATATTCGAAATAATTTCTTTAAAAGGTAGTGTCAGTTTATTGACCATTAATAATCAGTACATGAATGATTCTCTATTTTACAAACACAGGACATTATGTTTGCAAATCAAATTTGTTAATTATAAGTTGATTTTTTTTTTTTTTTTTTTTTTTTGACAGGCAGAGTGGACAGTGAGAGAGAGAGACAGAGAGATTCGTCTTCCTTTTGCCGTTGGTTCACCCTCCAATGGCCGCCGCTGCAGCCGGCGCACCGCGCTGATCCTGGCAGGAGCCAGGAGCCAGGTGCTTTTCCTGGTCTCCCATGGGGTGCAGGGCCCAAGCACCTGGGCCATCCTCCACTGCACTCCCTGGCCATAGCAGAGAGCTGGCCTGGAAGAGGGGCGACCGGGACAGAATCCGGCGCCCCAACCGGGACTAGAACCCGGTGTGCCGGCGCCGCAAGGTGGAGGATTAGCCTATTGAGCCACGGCGCCGGCCCTATAAGTTGATTTTTTTAACCAATGGGTTTGGGTTGTTCATGTTTCTGAATGGGTTATTCTTATTGATAAAAAGCTAAGTTTTCAATAGGAGGTGGGAGAGCAGCTCTTAGTGGTTCACCCATTCTTTGCTTTGGTCTCTCCTTCAGTTTCTTCACTCCTTTTTAGAGTTGGGATCAGTACTACTGTGTCATGTCTTGTTTCCTTTCTGATTTCTGTTTCTTCACCTTTGTTCTACTCTCATGCCTAAATTAGTAACACTGATTGAGAGTTGTACCACAGTTTATATAGGAGCATTAAAAGTATGCAAAGGATCTCGGGGATTCTTCCTTCTCTGCTGTAGTCAGTCTCTCTGAAAAGTAGTTTCTTGGGGGAGCATAACAGACACTAGTATCAGCTCTAAAGTAAAACCTGTATATACTAATAAAGTTACAGAATTAGAAATAGCAGTGTGTGTCTTGTCACAATGTAATTGCATGATACTTTAGTCTGAATATTGCATCAAGAATATTAATCTGGGACTGGCACTGTGGTGCAGCAGGCTAAGCTACCACCTGCAATGCTGGCATCCCACATGAGAGAGGTGTTTTTTTTTTTTTTTAAGATTTCTTTGTTTGAAAGCATTACAGAGGGAGAAGGAGAGACAGATCTTCTGTCTGCTAGTTCACTCCCCAAACGGCCATAACAGTCATGGCTGAGCCAGGTACAAGCCAGGAGCTTTTTTCAGGTCCCTACATTGGGTACAGGGGCCTGAGCTTTTGGGCCATCTCCAATGCTTTCCCAGGGGCATTAGCAGGGAGCTGGATTGGAAGTGGAGCAGCCAGGACTTGGACCAGTGCGCATATGAAATGCCGGTATTGCCAGGTGGTGGTTTAACTCTCTAAGCCACAACACTGGTCCCTGGAGACTGAGGTTGAGTCCCAGATTTTCTCTTCCAAACCAGCTCCCTGTAATGTGCCTGGGACAGCAAGAGAAAATGACCCAAGTCCTTGGGTCTCTGCTACTTACATTGGAGACCCAGATGGAGTTCTTTGCTTCTGGTTTTAGCCTGTCCCAGCCCTGGCTGTTAACAGCTATTTGGGGGGTGTACCAGCTCCCCAGGAAGAAGGGATGATCACCCTTCTTCTCTTCCCTGCCCCCGCCCCTGACTTTTCCATCATCAAGTTAATAAATAAATCTTAAAAAAAGAGTTACCCAAGGGTAAGTATATGGCCTGGAAATTATTCCTCCCATGTCTTTTATCAGAGTATCTGGATTGAGTATCTGGTTCTGGCTCCTGACTGCAGCTTTCTGCTAATATAGACTGGCAGGCAGCAGTGATGGGCCAAATATTTGTGTTCCTAGCTCCTGTGTTTGGCCTGGCCAGCCTGTTATAGGCATATGGGGAGTGAACCAGCAGATGGAAGATCTGTGTCTCTGCCTTTCAAATAGAAATTAAAGAACAAATTTTTGTGCTTGGGCCCCTGTACCTGCATAGGAGACCCGAAGAAGCTCCTGGCTTCTCCAGCTTTGGCCTTTGTGGCCATTTGGGGAGTGAACCAGTGGATGGAAGACCTTTGTCTCTCCCTCTCACTATCTGTAACTCTATCTGTATGATAAATAAATAAAATCCTTTTAAAAATTAGCTTTAGTTTTTTAATTTTTAAAAATTTATTTGAGAGGCAGAGGCAGAACGATCAATCTTCCCTCTGCTGGTTTACTCCCCAAATGGCCACAACAGCCAGGGCTGGGTCCAGGTTGAAGCCTGGAGTTTCTTCCAGGTCTCATATGGGTACAGGGGCCAAGCACTTGGGCAATCATCTTCTGCTCTCAGGCGAATTAGCAGGCAGGTGGGTTGGAAGTGGAGCTGCGACTTGAACCCGTGCCCCTATGGGATGCTGGCACTGCAGGCAGTGATTTGAGTCCTGGTGGCTCCTCTTCTGATCCAGCTCTCTGTTACTGCACCTGGGAAAGCAGTAGCAGATGGCCCAAGTCCTTGGGCCTAGCACTTACATGGGAGGTTGGAAGAAGCTCCTGGCTTTGGATTGGCCCAGCTCTGGCCATAGCAGCCATTTGGGGAGTGAACCAATGGATGGAAGACTTTGTCTCTCTCTCTCTCTCTCTCTCTGCCTCTCTGTAACTCTGCCTTTCAAATAAATCTTTAGTGAACTGCTTTTTTTTTTTAAAAAAAATTCAAGCTGAGTTAGGATGTCTGATTTGAAAATAATAACCATCTTACAGAAGTTATGCTTATGTTTTGACTTATGTTGTCATAGACTGTCGTTTTTGCCATTGAATTAAACTTTGTCTCCTGTTGCTAAATGAGTTAAATTTTTGTGATTCAGGCAGAAAAACAAGTAGAAACTGAGGAGGCAGGAGTAGTGACAACAGCAACAACAGCATCTGTTAATCTAAAAGTGAGTCCTAAAAGAGGACGGCCTGCAGGTAGGATTATTGTTTAAATATTTGTTTGGCTTATAGTTAATATTCCAATCCATTAAAGTGTTGCTGCCTCAAGTATTTTGGAATAAAGTAGTAGGCAATTGATTACATGGAATAGAATTCAAGGGAGATAAACTGTGGTTTCTACTGGGTAAAAATAAAGTATTTAAATTTGAAATAGCTGTGATTCTTTGTTTTATTGCTGTTTTCTCCAAATAGTAACAAATGAGGCTGTGGTGAGGTTGAAATTACCATAGATGAGTTTATCTGACCTCTCACTTCTAAGGCACTGTTTTTTAGGATGTTTGTAATATGTAGCTCTCTTCAAAATTGTCCAAAGTGCTTCCTTAATTTGGCAAATTGGAAATATTCTGGAAGGATCTAACTAATAACAAAGTAAAACAAAGGAAATGAATCAAAATAAAACCAGTTTTTTTTCTACTACGCAGTGTAATTCTCCCCCCACCCCAAGAAACCTTTTATTTAAGGCATACAGACTTCATACATTTCATAAATACAACTTTAGGAATATAGTGATTCTTCCCACCATACTCGCCCTCCCACCCCTCCCTCCTCCTCCTCCTCCCACCCTCAGTCCCGTTTTTCACAGTGGACTCCCAGCCTCAGTCCCGTTTTCCACAGTGGACTCCCACCCTCAGTCCCATTTTCCACAGTGGAGTTTTTAATGAAAGGGGATAGATCAGAAAAGAAAAAAAAATCGATTGTTTACATAGTATTTTGGAATTCAGTATTGTAATGGATTAAATTAATGGTGATAGGAAAAAAATGGTGATAGAAAATTCAGTAAATTCTGGTCAGACCTCCAAAGATGTGCATACATAGAATATTATACATATAATATTATTTAAGTTAATATTGAATATAAGTGCAACTTTTTAGTGCTAATGATCAGTGACATTCCTGTTTAAAAAAAAAAACTGTAAAATATTTTAAGTCCTTTCAACCATACTAAGGACAAATTGAAAATTTCTCAGTAGGTTTGTTCCTTTAAATTTTTTGCTGTTGCTCATTTGAACCATGGGGGAAAATACTGTTTTTACAATTTATAAATAATTATATCTGCAATAAGGCACTAACGTTCATTATATTATGTGTCATTTGTAATATTTATTTGTAAGACTGTATCTTAAGGGTAAACTGGTAATTAATGATTTTTCTTCCCATATGAACACTAGCTACAGAAGTCAAGATTCCAAAACCAAGAGGCAGACCTAAAATGGTAAAACAGCCCTGTCCTTCAGAGAGTGACATGTGAGTTTATTTTTAATACATAATTAGTTATACAGTAAGTGAGACGTTTGGCTATGGACAAGCATCTCTTTGTATTCTCACCAGTCTTACAGGATGTTTGTTACTGTCACGATTCTGATATTTCTAAAGATTTTGTAAACACTTTGGAAAAATTTTGTGAAATGTAAAATTGTAAGGGAATCAGAAATACATGGTTATTTCATTAGTCTAATTAAAATATATTTTCTTGCCATATCATGATAGAAGAATCTTTGGATAATGCATGGTCATATCTACGTTAGGGAAATAAAGCAAGATAGTATATTTTTGAAATAATTTTAAAAACCTTATATAAATTTTGAAGTGATGTCCACAAACTTTTTTCTAGCTCCTATAGTATAGATAGGTGCTTTATTTAAAAAGTAGTGTTTAGGCCGGCGCTGCGGCTCACTAGGCTAATCCTCCGCCTTGCAGCGCCGGCACACTGGGTTGTAGTCCCAGTCAGGGCGCTGGATTCTGTCCCGGTTGCCTCTCTTCCAGTCCAGCTCTCTGCTGTGGCCCGGGAGTGCAGTGGAGGATGGCCCAAGTGCTTGGGCCCTGCACCCCATGGGAGACCAGGATAAGTACCTGGCTTCTGCCACTGGATCAGCGTGCTGCACTGGCCACAGCGCGCCAGCCGCGGCGGCCATTGGAGGGTGAACCAATGGCAAAGGAAGACCTTTCTTTCTGTCTCTCTCTCTCACTGTCCACTCTGCCTCTCAAAAAAAAAAAAAGTGTTTAAAATATTAAATTCACATTATAAATAATTTTAAGTATTTTGAAATGATAAGCAGTTAGCAAAGAGTAAGGTTTCTTTCCCTCCCTTGACATCTTTCTATTCAAGGATCTTGTTTACTTTTACTTTTCTAGGGAATCCTCACCAGGAGGACTGTATTGAGTGAGACAGGAGGAAAAACATTTGTGTCCATTATGTTTAAGGATTTTGTAGGGGAGGCTCAAGTATTTCAAATTAAGAATGGATATATTTTGAATGCCCTGATTTGTAGGAAATTTTTATTATAGAAAATTAGAGTTGATACTTTTAAACCAAAACAGAAAGAGCTGTGTTTTATTGCCAGCCTAGCTCTTCCAGCTCTCATTAAGAGTGGCACATAGTAACAATGCATGGTAAACTGAAACAAAAAACCCAATCCAAGTATGTGAGGTGATGCATATGTTAAATGCGTTGGTGGATCCATTCCACATCAAAACATGGTTTTATAATTTAAACAACTTGCAAAATACAGTGTGGCTTAATTCTATAGTGAAGTTAAGAAATTGGGAACTTGTTGGTGGCGTTGTTGTTGGCATTCATTGTTCCCTAGGAAATCTGAAATTCTAAGAAAATTTTGGGAGATTCTCCACATTTTAGATATGAGGAATATTGGAGCTTCAGTTTACCCTACACCTGTCCCTTCTAGCCACTTGTGCCCATGGCTTTTTGGCTAATTCCTCAGATCTCGCTATCATCCTAACTGAAAAATACTGCCCTTTTTTACTGATTGAACAGCTTTCCTCAGCCTGTTTTCAGACTAAGGATTTGGGGGCCTGGCATCCCCTTTTAGAACCCACTCACTTCTCTTAATGAAGTTTGTTGTCACTTTTTGAAATATACTTATTCTGTAGGGTTTGTGGTTTTTCTAGTCAGCTTCTTGTGCAGTGGCTTAATTTGTAAGATTTTACCTGATAGGCTTGTCTTTTTATACTAAGTTCAAACATTTTGAGTTTATAGATTGACCGCACAGGAACCATTTACCTATCTGAAGGACTCAGCCCAATTTGAATTCTGAAGACTGGCACCAACCCTTTGATTGAATCTTTGACCCCGGGCTTTGTTCAAAAATACTGTTTTTTTTTTTTTTTTTTTTTTTAACTCCTTTTTCTTGAATACCTTTGCAAATTTATCTTGGCAATAATTAACACAAGGTACCAGTATTCTGTCTTGAAACCTCTTACTCAAAGCCACAGTTTTCTTCTCTCAAGTTACTGCAGTTCAACAGTTTCATGCATTGTATAACCACATAAGGGACTTCAGAAAGCTTGTCCAAAATGGGATGAAAAGATAAGTTCATTTTTGATTTAAAATTATTTGAAATCCATGCATAATTTTTCATAATACACATTTTCTATAAACTTTTTGAAGATCCCTTTTATATTATGGTTTCCAGTTTCCCAGCCAAATGCCAAGTGCCACAGGTTTTAAGTTCATTGTCTCTATTAGGGAGGTTTTTGCCGAGGCAGTAAACAACCCTAAAATAGCAGAAGTGTACATTTATTTCTTATGCTGTTTGTAGTCTGAGTGTTAGCTGTAGTTTTACTCTTGGAAGTTTCTTGGACATATATTTAGTGGAGTACAGAGCTACACTATAAAAGCCCTTTTGACACTTTTGCTCCATGAGAGTAACACATATGTGCTAGTTAACTGCTGCTTTGCAGTGAGTACTGAAATGACTAGAGTAGAATCCTCGCATATAATTAAAAATACTTGTTGACCACTGATGTATTTGAGGTTATTTGCCTTAGCCTTGCCTAAAGAAATTGACAAGTACAGTTTTCCTAATGTCCCGTGACAGATTAAAAAGGGAAACTGGGGACAGGCGTAGCAGTTACAACATCACTTGGGACACCAACAACTCACTGGAGTGTGTGGCTTTGAGTTCCAGCTCGGCTGCAGATTCTGGCTTCCTCTAATGAACACCCCGGAGGAGGCAGCAGTGATTCAGTTTCCATGTGGTAGTTGCACCCTTGCCACTGACAGGGGAGATCTGATTAAGTTCCTGGTTCGCAGTTCCTGGCCCAGGCCCAGCTGTTGTGGGCATTTGAGAAGACCGGGAGCTTGTTTGCTCTTTGTGTCTGTCTGCCTCTCAAATAAATATAATTTAGAAAGTAAAAGGGAAATTGTCACAAATCTGTTTCATGGAAGATAGCAAGAACCATTGGGAAAAGACTCATTTGTACCAAGCAGTGATAGTTATGTTCATGGTAATTCTTGGCTTTGATACTGTTCAGAAAATATTGAAATACTAATCCCTTGTCAAAGACGTTATGAGATTCTGAAAATACATGCCAGGGTATTCTGTGTATGTATTATCATTTTTAAGATCCATCTCATGTGGATACATAGTGAAATATTTGTTGTCTGTTTTGTACACGTGCAAATGTATTGGGTAGGATATATGCCTAGAAGCAGATTTGCTGGGTCAAGTCAGAGGGTATTTGTGTTTTTTAATAGTTAACTTCCTTTCATGGGGTTAACAGTTTGGAGAAAGCAATGGGTCAGTATTGCTTAAGAGCCACAGAAATGCTTTCTTGACTCATACTATTTTTAAGAACTGAATGACTGCCGGCACCACGGCTCACTAGGCTAATCCTCCGCCTGTGGCACCGGCACCCTGGGTTCTAGCCCCGGTTGGGGTGCCAGATTCTGTCCTGGTTGCTCCTCTTCCAGTCCAGCTCTGCTGCGGCCTGGGAGTACAGTGGAGGATGGCTCAAGTGCTTGGGCCCTGCACCCACATGGGAGACCAGGAGGAAGCACCTGACTCCTGGCTTCAAATCCGAGCAGTGCGCCGGCTGTAGCGGCCATTTAGAGGGTGAACCAACGGAAGGGAAGACTTTTCTCTGTCTCTCTCACTGTCTAACTCTGCCTGTCAAAAAAAATTTTTTTTAAAGTGAATTACTATCAAAATATTTACATTAGTGGAAATTCTGAACAAAGGATGTAGTGGTGCTATTTCCATGCTTTTTCTTCCATGAAAAAAGTAAAATAATAAGGGAGCAAGCATTTGGCCTGTTGGTTAAGATGCCTGTGTTTCACACCAGAGTACTTGACTTGATTCCTGTTTCTGGCTCCTGACTTCAGCTTTCTGATAATGCAGATCTTAAGAGGCAGCAGTGATGGCTCATGTAATTGGGTTCTGCCACGCATGTGGGAGACCTGGGTTTCATTCCTGGCTGATAGCTTCAGTCCTGGCTGTGGCAGGCATTTGGGAGAGGAAATCAACTGACAGAAACTGTCTCTTTCTGCCTTATAAATAAACACTTAAGATGATTTTTGAAAGCAAGTATACTCAACAATGTGAAAGGATTTTTAAAGAAACAAAGTAAATTTTTCCTCTTTGATTTAGTAGTCTGTTAAGTGTTCAAGGAAGCTCATGTGGAAGGGGGTGAGTGGATTGGGAATTGAGATTTTGGGCCTAGTATTTGATCTTTTGAACCATCATTATCTTATTTGTCAAATGGAAAGGTTGGACTGAATGATACAAAAGGCCTTCCCTTCCATCCCTCAAATGCATTGAGTTCATTGTATATTTAAAAAATTTCATGAAATGCCTTAGTAAAAAGTCTATATAAAATGGCTTGTTAGATCTTCAAGTATTTGTAAAGGAATTGCTTTAGTTTAGTATATAGACCACACAATAATTGCTATGTGGCTAATATAATATTAATTACCCAGTAGTAGTTAGGGTAATTAGAGCAATTTAGGCAGTTTACAGGGCATGCTGATAAAAATCTGTTGATGACAGGAACACTATAGGTGCTTGGCAGCTCAGCGCTGTCTGACACTATGTTTAGGTGGTCAGATATTTGCCCAATATGAGATATTTACCTAATATGAGAGTAGTTCAGCAAGTTCATCAAAAACATGCAACTAAAATATAAGTTTTATTTTGGTGCAGAAAAATTGTGAAGTCCATGTACACATAGGGAAAGTATTAAAAAGTACATGACAGTCTGTTGTGGCATAGCAGGTTAAGCTACTGCCTGTGACACTGGTATCCCATATGGGTGTTGGTTCATGTTCCCTCTGTGCCACCTGCAATCCAGGTTCCTGCTAATGGTCTGGGAAAGCAGCAGAAGATGGCCCAAATGCTTGGGCCCCTGCTACCCACATGGGGAAACCTGGATGAAGCTCCCTGCTCCAACCTGATTTTGCCCTGACTGTTGTGGCTGTTGTAAACCAACAGATGGAGGATCTGTCTCTCCCTCTCTTTGTAATTCTTTCAAATAAATCAATCTTTTTTTTTTTTTAAATGCATGAATTTCAAAAAAAATTTTGCACCAAAATAAACATACCTGTTTTTTTCGCACTTCAAAGAATATTTCTTTTAGTTCTAAAATAACCATATTTTAAATTTGCCTTTGAATAAAAAATGACAGCAGATTGTTATCTAATGTATTTATTTGGTTTGGTGTATAGTTGAATGCCAAATATTAATGATACATAATGACTTGTTTTCCCCCAATTGCACTCTCCCATAATAGGGTTACTGAGGAAGACAAAAATAAGAAAAAGGGGCAAGAAGAAAAACCACCTAAAAAGCAGCTTAAAAAGGATGAGGAGGGCCAGAAGGAAGATGATAAGCCAAGAAAGGAACTAGACAAAAAAGACGGGAAGAAAGAAGCTGAATCAAAAAGGAAAAATTTAGCTAAACCAGGGGTTACGTCAACCTCTGATTCTGAAGAAGAAGGAGACGATCAAGAAGGCGAAAAGGTAGAGTTTACATATCATGTAAAAATATTGGTTCTATTTTTCTTATGTAGTTAATATTCACTTTGTAAGCTTTCAATATTTCTGTGGAAGTCTGAGTATCAGTGAAGATTCAATTTAATTTTTTTATCTTTGAGTAGATTTGAATTGAGTAGATTTGAATTTTTTAAACAGCATATTTGGGGGTGGGAGTGGGAGCATTTGACCTAGCCATAATACACTGGTTAAGGTGTCCATGTGCCATAAAGGAGTACCTGGGTCAGATTCCCAACTCCAGCTCAATTGCAAGCCTTTTGCTGATGCTGGGAGGCAGTAGGTGATGGCTCAAGTGGTTGGTCATTCTGTGGGACATCTTGAATGAGTTCCTGGCTTCCAGGTTCAGCCTAGTCCACTCTCTGGCCATTGAGGAGATTAGATGGGAGTAAACCAGTCTTGAATAAACTTAAAGTAAGTAACATTTTAAAAATTTTGAAAATTTCTTATATTGTCTATTCTAAATTTCTTAACTTTGCACATTGAAAGATACTTAAAATAACCCCACCTACTAGAGAAGGTAGGAGATTAAACCAAGTTGGTTGTGACCAGTGAAGACAAAAGTAAAAGGTGTATTTATACAGGTTTACTCTCAAATTTTTTCATTCTTCAGACCTATTGCATATTTAGTCATTGATTCCTAATTTCATTTGGATGCCATAGTTGTTTGGAAATAACATTAAAGCTATATATCCTTTTGTCTAGAAAAACACAATCTTTTTGTATAATGTTAGGGATCTACAAATCTAGGTCTCATCAGTCTTTAGTTTAAGCCCAAAATCTTAATTGGATAGGTTGAGTTGCATGCTTATTGGTATTGAAGTTAGCATCACTATGTAGAGGCAAACAGCCTAAAGATGTCATTTTAACAAAAGAACAGCATCCCTACAGCAATCCAGAGTCATCAAGGGAAAGTTAAATTTGTAGGGCAGGCTGTAATTACAGAACATCTTTTTAAATGACTAATTTTTAAGTATTCAGTCCTTAAACTAGTTGCTTTTTTCTCTTATGATTATAATTATATAAGCACTAACTTGAGAGCTAACTGAATCCATCCTAATTCTTACATAAAACAGAAGAGAAAAGGTGGAAGAAACTTTCAGACTGCGCACAGAAGGAATATGCTCAAAGGCCAACATGAGAAAGAAGCAGCAGATAGAAAACGCAAGCAAGAGGAACAAATGGAAACTGAGCAGTAAGTATTTTTTCATTCTAAATTTTGAGTTTTTCTTAAGGGTAGCATGACATTTTTAAACAACAGATTTTCATTTTCCAGCCTTCATGAAGCCTTTTGAAGAAGTAACTTTTCCTATATATTAGAAAAGTCTTCAGTGTATGATTATCTTATTTTGGGCTTCATTGTTTTTTGAGGGAATGACTTCCACTGAGGCGCAGTCATCCTGTGGATTATTTTTTAGTTTAAACTGAATGTGAAGATAGAATTTAACTGTTAGTGGCTTTGCAGAAAATGTACTTATCCTCTATTATTTGTATAATATATTAAATATACAAAGAGTGGTGATAATATATTGGTGGAGAAAGAATGCAGGAAGTAATTCATCATACCACCAGCAGGCCTCCCCCTAAAGACCAGCAAAAGTAACGAAAGCACAGCTGGAGACCCAGGCAGCCAGTAATAGTAAATCTAAAGGCTGTAACAGGGTTTACATTAGATATGTGCAATATAAATCAAGTGCAAAGTTGTTTTGTTGTCTTAAGTTTTGGTATTTGGAGACAATATATACTTGCCATCGGGAATTTCTTTCCCTTTGATTATATAAAATTTTATTAGAAGGAAAAGTAATAGCAATGGTAATGATGATTAGACTTCGTCTTTATAACATAGTTATCTTTAGACTGTCACTTCTGAGTTCTCTGGAATGCTTCTCTTTCCTTGTCGAGTGTTTTAGATTCTGACTAAACTTATTTTGTTATTTGAGAAATGTGATTTTAGAAACACTCTAGGTCATTAAAGACAGAGTTAGCAATGAGAGCAGTTCTGTATTTTTTTCCTTATCTAATACATTCTGAAGCTGAACATCTTTACACGTATAGCATTTGACTCTGATTTCTTTCTTAGTTGTTTGGAGGATATCATAAGCAGTTTCAGCTGCTCAGGGAGTAATTTTAAAAATCATTCTAAGGCTCAGAAATGTTACTCCCTCTAAGACTTCGACCACTTCTGTAAAATATTTTTTTGTTACCTTTCCTCTCTCATTTCAATGAAAAGTTGGACTGTTTGTTGCTTTTAACTTTATTGTGCTCCCCAAAGTAAGACACAAAATCTAGCCCAACCTCTACTGCACTATCTCAAAGTTCTCTATGTATTTCAGTTTCTTTTGAATGTCCTCCAATGTAACTTTCTCAAATTCTAATATTTGTGTTTTCTTTCCTTCTCCTGTTATTACAAAACTTTGTACTTGGACAGTTTTGCTCTGTAAAGCATTTCAGATGCAGCTTGTGTGAAATGCATTATGCAAAATAAAGTTTATTGTATTGTATTCCCAGCCAAACAACATGTAATCTACAGTAATAAAAAATATATCTCATTTTGGGCTCAAAGCATTAATCCAGTTACTGAAAAGAGAATACAAGTGGAGCAAACAAGAGATGAAGATCTTGAGACAGACTCATTGGACTGAATTTTTCCCTACCCCCCTTTGATGGAAGAATGTTCCAGATTCTAAATTGAGGACTTCATTTATTAATGGCATTATTACTGTGTTATGATTGTTAACAAAATATCCTGTAAGGTACACACTACATACTAAGGTCGGCCATCATTCCTGTTTTTTTTTTCTTAACCAAGCTTAAAATGAAGCTTTGTGTTTGAAAATTATAACAAGCTTAGATGAAGATGGTGGTTGTACATAATTTCATTTAGAAAATATAAACTTTCGTTTTGTTTTGAAACTAGGTATTAAACTGGAATAGATAATACAACCCTGAGAATGGGGCACTTATGCCCTCCATTGACATTCCTTTGTTGTTCAGTTCTTTAGAGTCTTAATTGTTTTTTTTTAATCCTGAGAGATTAAATAGTAGACTTGTTAAGAAAAATGAACCTGTAACCAAAATTTTAAAATAAAGTTTTTTTAAAAAAAAACAACGATTTTTAGGTATTTTTTTGTTCTTGTCTATTTCAATTGGTTGATGATATGGCCTGAATTCTGTAAGCCAAGGTACTAGAAATTACTAAGATTGTAATTTTAAGTGTTATTTTTGTGATTCACAGTAAAATATGGTACCTTTTCATTTGTGAAATGGTATATAAATGTTAGATGTCATTTGAGTGATAAAACAGTTTTAACCTTGGTTCAAAATCCCTCAAATTATCCACACTTTGAAGATGTGGGCAACAATTAAATCATCTTTTGACACGCTGCTTTTTAAAAGTTGTGATGCAGAATTGATTAAACATTTATAGGTATTCTCATTGTAAATCGTTTGTCCACTGACCCTGAAATTAGTCTTTTAACAACAAATTAATGTTGCAAAGAAAATTTCACCATTTTAAACAACTTTAGATTTTTTTATTGTGTGATGCAACTGAAAAAATGTTTGATTTAGCATGTTACTTTTTGAGTTCTGCTTATATCGATGCTGTGTCATTGCATAGTTGAAAGATCTACAGTCAATTGCTTGTGGCCTAGGATATGATTTGTTACTTGAAGGGAAAAAATGTAACTTATACATAAGGAATTGTGGGCATTGGGTAATCCATCACAAACTTCCAATGTTTTGAAATGTTTGTGTTAACATTTGATAGGCAGAATAAAGATGAAGGAAAGAAGCCAGAAGTTAAGAAAGTGGAGAAGAAGCGAGGTTAGTTAACTTCACTTCCTAAGATGTGTAAAAATTATACGTAGAAAGAAGAGTCTATGGATGCTTAGTTTTCCACAAATTAGTCTCATTTTATGTTCTTATGTCCTACACTTTTTCAAATCCATAATGGATTCTATAGAAATTGCATTGTATTTTGAGCAAAATCAAGTGAATATGTTAAATTGTTGTCCATATTTTTTTAATATTCATTATTTGACAAATCAGATTTTGGGTTGCTTTGTCAAAAGCTAGATGCTTTTCCATTTTTGACAAATCCTTTGGTTAAACATGTAAGGGTAAAGCAGGTATGTAAGGATTGGAGTTTCAGGAGTTCAAAATTGGATGTAGACTATCTTAGAAACAGATGCAGCTGGATGGTGATTTTGAGTTTTTATGGTGCATGTTGCTTTCCTAAACCAAGTCCTAAAGTAGCATAACTATTTTGGTTCTTCATTTTAAAGATTACTGAGAACATTTTAAAAAATTTACCTGTTCTTTCCATTAATACTTTGCCTTAGACTATACAGAAATACTGGTTTTGGGAAAACTATTTACTGTTTTTCACATATTTTAATTTATAGAAACATCAATGGATTCTCGGCTTCAAAGGATACATGCTGAAATTAAAAATTCACTCAAAATTGATAATCTTGTAAGTGTTTAATCTCATTTAAAGATATAGTGCTGCTCTTATAGCTTCATATTTCTCACATGACTTAAGTATGTGGATTTAAAATAAAAGGTACAATTATTGGTTATTATACTGCTTTGAAATTTCTTAAAAACTTGAGAAATAGATATTGTCTATGTTGTGATAATTAACAGTTATGAAATCACTGTTTTATTATGAAGGATGTGAACAGATGCATTGAGGCCTTGGATGAACTGGCTTCACTGCAGGTCACAATGCAACAAGCTCAGAAACACACAGAGATGATTACAACGCTGAAAAAAGTAAGTGATTCCATGTCCTGTAGATTCTTAAAACTTTCTCATTTAAAAAACTGAAATATCACGAAAGCAATTGTGAATGTATATTTTTTCAGATACGGCGATTCAAAGTTAGCCAAGTTATCATGGAAAAGTCTACAATGTTGTATAACAAGTTTAAGAACATGTTTTTGGTTGGTGAAGGGGATTCCGTGATCACCCAAGTGCTGAATAAATCTCTTGCTGAACAAAGACAGCATGAGGAAGCAAATAAAACCAAAGATCAAGGAAAGAAAGGGCCAAACAAAAAGCTAGAAAAGGAACAAACAGGTATGTGGTCATCAACTTCAGGCCAGCTTTTTAACTCTTTGCCAGGACTGCTTTTAAAAATAGCTTTGACATAAGCAAAAATACAATTTCAGAGTTGGAAAGAAGTGGATATTGGAGTTCTTAAATGTCAGTGCTAAGGCTCCAGTTCATTCATTGATGAAAGATGAAATAATTAAAATGGTTTCATTTCCTCAGTCAAGGTGACTGTGAGAACAGTGCTGACAAAGATGACATGAGCAATGCAGAAAAGCTGCCTATAGAACAGTTGGTGAAACTGGCGGGCTTACTGGAGGACTAGAGCAGCCTGCATGGTAACAGAAAAAACTGTCAGTTTAGAAACAGATTCAGCACAGAAACCACTGCTAATGAGGCACGTGACTCTGGAGAAAACATTTTAAAAAGCCATCCAGAAGAACACCTCCTCAGCCCTTAACCTATTTCCTGGTCCCCTCAACTGCTTCTGATGCTTCTCACCTACAAAAACACACTGTTAGCTAAAACACAGGATGATGGGTGGATGCCGTTTGCTGTTGGTTAGCAGTTGGTAACAGGCGTTTTGCTGGTGCTGTTAACTATGCTGCCTAGTTACCCTCACTGGAGGGGGGGGGGCTCGTTGGTCAGGAAGTTCATGGAAAATGCCTATTATGAAAAGAAAACTACACATGGACTACAAGAATATTTTGCACTAAAACATGTCCTTTTAGTTTCATTTTTTCATGAACTTTTTAAAGTACCCTCTTGAATGGTGTGTCATTTTTATGAGGTTCTCACATGTGATAAAAAAAAACAGTGTTCATAGCAGCATACACAGTGAGTCAGGAATGATGGTGAGGCCAAACACCACAGGTTGTCTACCTGGTAGCTGAAATAGCAATTCCTTTGCGATGGCTTAATGTATGCTAAGTGCATTCCATACACAAAATATTTGCTTAAATATTGTAAAAAATGAATTTTGTGTTTAGAGAGTCCATCCCCATCCTATTTGATTGTGTATATGTTGTTACGCAAATATTCACAAAATCTGAAACACAGCTGGCCCTGAGCATGTCAGATAAGGAAGACTGTACATGGCTAATGTGGTTTTCCACTCTGAGACATACCATCTCATCCATAAATAGTTCAGAATGTATGTTTTAAGGGCTATTATGCCTTATAGTACTATTATTAGCTCCCCCAATTCCAGGTGGTTTTAAGGTAGAAACCAACATTTCAGAAGCTGTTTTGTCTGGTTTGCTCTCATTTATTAGGAAATGATATAGGTCTCCTTTGTAACTAAGATTGACCAGAAGAAACTGCAGTTATTTACTTATCAGGCAGCAAAAGTCATGACAGTTAGAAGTACTACTATCGGCCGGCGCTGTGGCTCAATAGGCTAATCCTCCGTCTGCGGCGCCAGCACACAGGATTCTAGTCCCGGTCGGGGTGCTGGATTCTGTCCCGGTTGCCCCTCCTCCAGGCCAGCTCTCTGCTGTGGCCAGGGAGTACAGTGGAGGATGGCCCAAGTGCTTGGGCCCTGCCCACCATGGGAGACCAGGATAAGTACCTGGCTCCTGCCATCGGATCAGCGCGGTGCACTGGCCGCGGTGGCCATTGGAGGGTGAACCAACGGCAAAGGAAGACCTTTCTCTCTCTCTCACTGTCCACTCTGCCTGTCACAGGCAGTGGACAAAGTACTACTTTCAGCACTTATTATTCTAAATTACCATTAAAGCTAAATACAAAATTCACGATGAAGTAAAACCATAATGTGCTAAAGAGTTCTGTAGCCCCCTCTAGTTTTCCAGATTAATAACAAATAGAATGTTTCTGTGCCTTAGCTACTGAAAGGAGTGTTGACAATATAGCTATTTAATGTTCATTATTCCTTTTTTTTTGAAATGGCATCAAAACCAAGTCCTAAAATCTAAGAGGGCTGAATTAACAATGCAATTTCACACGTAAGATACTAAATATTAGAAAAGCTGAAGGTCATGTTTTATTGGTTTTTAGATCTCTAGAGGACAACACCATATTCTTTCTGTAGTTCTAACGAAGTTTCCCATTATTATCCTTCTAAAAGGTTCAAAGACTGTAAATGGAGGATCTGAGGCGCAAGATAGCAATCAGCCGCAACACAATGGCGACAGCACTGAGGAAAGCAAAGACAGTCATGAGGCCAGCAGCAAGAAAAAGTGAGGATGTGTTTTAGTGTCTTCATAGTCTTAAAGTTTTTAATCACAGCATTGTGCCAGGGTTAATGGTGTTTTTTGATCACTTAATTTCTGATTTCAGTAAACAAACTGCAAATGAAAAAGGCAAAAGTAAAATTTGTAGACTGCTAATTTGTTACTGTATTCAAGGAAGTGGAGCCTGGTGAAAAAGCCCAGTTAAAGAAAATTAACTTAATTGTGAGAATGTTAAAAATTAGATGTAGAATTATAGGCTACTCTAAGTTACAAACTTTCTTAAAATAACTAGCTGTGAGACCATACTTATTTAGGCTTAGTTTGTAACACTGTACCTTGACTTGGGAGTCTAGCAATTTTGGAAATCTAAACTTTGTAATATGCTGGTATATGTTCTTAAAGAGAATTCACTTTAAAGCTGAAAATGGTGTTCTGTTACTTTGCAAAGAAAATACAACCTGATAGAACAAAAATCTGAATAACAAGTCTTTTTTTTTCTTAGGAGAATGCAGTTCTTAGGAGAATCCCAGTTGTCACACCTTTTTCTTTCTTCCTTTTCTTTAGGCCATGCAGTGAAGAGAGAGAGACTGAAATATCGCTGACGGATTCTACGCTAGATAACTAGGGTGACATACCTGGAGTTTAAAGTTAACATTTGAAGAAGTTTGTAATGGTTTTCATTTGAAATATTTAGACTGCTCAAAGTTTTAAATTTTTATAAGCATAGGTTTTGATGTTTAAAACTTGTTTTGAGGGAGAAAATGCCTTTGTTTAAAAGTAATTAAACTTATCACTAATTGTTCTTGTGCAGTATTAACAGCTCCATTAAACAGTAAACGTGGGGAGAAAGTCCATTTAGAAAATGTTAAAACTGCTTTTCCAGAAATGGTTGTAGCATATTTTCAATTAGTGTGTGTATGTTAATGTGTAATTGGTAGAACAAAGTTACATTTTTAAAAATGCTACCTGTATAAACCTTTCCTCTTCTCCCAAATACCGTGGGTTTTGTGCATAGTTTATTACAAATCTTGGATCTCACTGTTTGTGGGTTTTGTAGAAGTTGAGCATTTTTACGGTAGAGAAAATGTTACTTCTATGTAAGTACTCACTCCCTCCTGTCACCAAAAGTTAATTTTAATATCACAGTCTCTACATTGTGGTACATTATCCTGCTTCTTTGTAACAATCTGTAGTCTCTATGCCTTTTTGTATGACAGCTAGATACCCAACTGATGTTTAATTGGCAATTCTAGGAGGTACAGAACAAACTTAATTTTTGGAAATAGTTTTTTTTTGCTGGGAGTTCAGTGAAGTCACCTGACTTACCTAAAGCGAACACGCTGGGTGTATTATAAATCTGGCTTTAGAGTTCAACCATCTAAGATCCTTTACAGGCATTAGTAACACTGAAAACTATATACATTTATTTTTGAGAAGTGTCTCAAGTTTCTAAATATTTTTAAAAGTCACACATTAAGAAAGCCGTTATATTTTTTAATTGGAAAAAAAATCAATCCATGATGCTTATGCGGAAAATATAAATGCTATACAAGTGAACTAACCTATTTGATAACAAGGCCATATTAGAAAGTAGTTTGTATTTCCATTTCTGTTTCATACATGTAACAGGATTACATAAAGTAGAGACTAAATCAGAGTGTACCAATGTTATCACAGATTATAAGTGTAATAACAAAGGATAGTGTTTCTAAGATATTTTGAATATTAGGGCAATTGTTGGTTTTCAATAGGTAGAAGGATACTTATGTTTTGACACTATATGATATCGGAAAAGGACTTTAAAACCAGTGTTTGTGTGCAACATGCATTGTATGTTCTGACTTTTCATCTACAGGTTAACATTTGAACATTACTTCAGTAATTGGACTTGTGCAGTTCAGAGGTCTTAGAAGGGAAGCTAGGACCCAATGTTTGGAGGGAACTCTGCTGTTACATTATATATACCTGTTTCGGTCCATAATTCAGTTTTAACTTGGACAAATTTATTCTAGTCAAGCCATAAGTGTCAACGTGTAAACTTGTTTTGATTAAAGAATTTTTCTATCAAACTACTAGTAAACTACTTCTTTGCCATTTTCCAAGAAGGTGTGGAATCTTGGATTTGCTGCTAAGGAAACAGTTTCTTAGTTAACTGGTCATAGAGATTAATCAACCCTGTATCACCAAACAATTCAAACAGTAAACTCAAACTGGTAAAAATAAAGGAAATGTTATTTATCTTCTGTTCACCCTCCTTTTCTTTCCTATGACCCTGTTATAGTTTTATCAAGAAGCCACAGAGCATTCAATTTGTGGAGATACAAGTAACATTCCGATCACCTGTTTGCCTGCATAGTCTGGCTTGATGTACGCACTCTACTTAAAGCACGTTGCCTTCTCTTCCACCTTAACCTTCATTTCAAGAATTTTTTTTGTCATAGGCTGATTGACAGATAACAGCCCAAGAACTTACAAGAAAAAGTCTTATAACTACCAAGAAGTTTTACAGGAACAATGCCTACAGTCAAACAAATAGAGATAACTTATAACTAGCCATCAAAATGTGTGTGTGTATGTGAATATACAACACCTATTTTGTGCTTTTGATGATTGGATTGCATTTTAAAGAGTAAATTATACATGACAAATGACTGAAGTTTGGGACTTTGAACATACAGTACCTTTTAAGTCCTATAATTCTATCTGGAGATTTCAGCTATTACAGATTTTACCCATTTTTGTTGATAGTGTACAAAAAATATTTCTGCCCACATACTTACCTAGTTAAAGATGTCAGGTCAAGATGAGGTCCAACATCTCATCTCATGCAGAGGCAAAGGCTTTTTTACATAGGGCTCTGTGTTGAGGGCTTTGCTAACAACTTACTTTGTCACACTGGCCCAAGAACGGTTCATCTGTTGGAAACAGCAAAACTTGCATCATTGTACCCTTAAGAAGTGCCAAAACTGCTATAATAGGCAGAAATGTGTTTAACAGATGAAAAAATAGCTGTTTTTTCTGGAGAGAGCTGCTAATATGCACATCCACTATTGAATCAAAAATCTTAATTCATTTCTTACTAGAGAACGTTGATTAGTAATGTTTTTATAATTGCTTTCCTTCAATATACAATGGTATTTGTAGTTTATTTAATAGTTAAAAGATTGAAATATGTATAAAGAATAGCTGTTTTGTATCAGAGATGTAGCTCCCAAAATATACAGTTAGAAATTTCTTTGGAATGACTTGATGGAATACCTATGTAACTGATTCACACTGGCAAACTGCGAGTAACCTGATCCCTCTTAGAAAAAATTTAGGCTGGCACCGCAGCTCACTAGGTTAATCCTCCGCCTGTGGTGCTGGCACACCAGGTTCTAGTCCAGGTCGGGGCGCTGGATTCTGTCCCAGTTGCTCCTCTTCCAGTCCAGCTCTCTGCTGTGGCCCGGGAAGGCAGTGGAGGATGGCCCAAGTGCTTGGGCCCTGCACCCCATGGGAGACCAGGAGAAGCACCTGGCTCCTGATCAGCGTGGTGTGCCGGCTGCAGCAGCCATTGAGGGGATGAAAGGAAGACCTTTCTCTCTGTCTTTCTCTCTCTCTGTCCACTCTGCCTGTCAAAAAAATAAAAATAAAAAAATAAAAAATTTAACCCGTGGATTTTTGGAATTGGGTATATCATTTATCTTAAAAATTTTATTTTTACAGAATTTTCTGTCTGCTCCATGTCTGCACCACTGGATACATTAAAGTAAAAATGTAGGCACAACATAAGCCAGCCATGGAGGGGCCTCTTTAGTTCTTTATAATGATGCTCTGAACCAGTGAGGAAGAACCCCATCTAGACATACCAGAAGCAGGTACTTCTCATCTTCACACCAACTGACTTAACTGGGTATGCCACATTTAAGTCCTTAAAACATATTGCACTGTCAGCCTTAAACACGCAGTTACAGGTTTCATTAGGTTTTGATTTTTATGGTAAGTGTCTGCTCTTAGCCATCAAGAGTAATGTGTACATATGCTGAATTTAAATATAACCTAGGAGAAAAAAAAAAAAACGATTCATTTAAAATCTTTTATAGCATATTAAAATTATCACCTAAAAAGGTTTCCAGAAAACTCTGTTGCTTTTTTTTTTTGCTCATAATTACTCAACAGTATTACTGCCCATGAATAAGTCAGCCAAAGCTAGACTTCTCAGGATCCTGATGTTTTTCACATGGCAATATAAAATCAGATAATATACCCAACATCTCTGCAGATTGATTATTCCTATAGTCTTCTTAAAATGTCTTGTGTGCGCAGTTATCACAATTACAAAAGAACCCACTGTGTGACTATATCACAACAGCTATGCTCAATTTTTAATTTTGTTAAACAGTTGCTTTTATCCTTAACTTCAAATATCTAACAAAAATTAAGGTGAAGAATCTTTACCTCGGGAGCCTCAAGGTAGAAGGTGTAGCTCTCAAATTCTTCAGAGAATTTCCAAAATACTTCTACTATTTGATGTATCTAGTTGAATTCTAGCCTTAGCAAAAGAAAACACTTGAGACAGGATGAATAGGCAAGCCATGGATTGGGAGAAAAGAATGAGAACATGTGTATGTACCTAGTTTATATTTAGGATATGGAAAGCACTTCAGTAAAATACACAACCCCTTCAAATAAGTTAAATGTACTTTGGAGTGAATGAAATAACATTCCAAAACACTTGGATTACTTCTGTTCCAGGTGCATCTGTTCCTCAGTGGTGTACTTTGGAAATAAACTATCCCAGAGGATGGGGACTTGACAGTGGTGTACTTTACAGGGGCAGCTGTTATTTAATTAAAGGTTCCAGGATCAACATAAGGATAAGCAAGGAATTCCCCCAGTTTGTTGCCTTCAGAGTCATAGTGGAGCATTCGGAAGCAAACATCACAAAAGAAACATGGGTCTTGTGGTGCAAAACTGTCATTGTTCGTCACCCATCTGTGGTTTTAAGAAAACAAAAAAAAGTACATCATTACAATCAAGTTTTTCATGTTTTAACATGTAGCTAATCTGTAAATATAACATTCAGTATTGCCTTATTAGTCTACATACACTCCACAAGGCAAAGTGGCATCTAATACTAAGTAACACTCCCTGAAAGGTAAGTAGAGAAAACTGTGACTCTGTACCCGATAGCAGCATACACTGGCCATGATACACCTGTCCCCCAAATAAACTTACTATGAACAATAATCTTCTGACAGGCCTTTTTTTTTTTTATTGTAAATATGACTCTTTTTTTCCTTCAATTTATTTACCTGAAACAAGACACCTTCCATCCTCTGTTTCTCCCCTCACACATGCCCACAATAGCTGGGTTTAGGACAGGCCAGATGCTGGAAACTCAATCCAGTTCTCCCACATTGGGGGCAGGGATCCAACTACTTGAGCTATTACCTGCTGCCTCCCTCCCAAGCAAGGTACACAGCAGGAAGCTGGAATCAGAAGGGGAGCGGGGACCTGAGCCCAGGTGTTCCAAGATGGGATGTGAGCATCTCAGGCAGCATCTTAATCATTATACCAAATGCCTACCCTACAGGCCATGAAAAACTGTAAAAATGAGATGCTACCGACCTGATAAACTTTTGCTTAATTTATCTTTTTGGTAAATGAGTACTGATTAATTAAAACTCCCAACAGTCTTATCTAGAACAGGATAAAATGTTACAGCCTAGAATATGGGTATCATTATATGGCCTGAAACCTTACTGTTAACTGTTTTCCTGCCTCTTTGAGTTCTGCATCCTAGAGAATACCTGCTGATAATGACTTATGTTATTTTCCTATTGCTCTTTCAGAAAAGTATATTGTGAATCCAAAACCAGTTTTCAAACTTGTTTTGGACTCTGACCCATAAGAAGAAACACTTTATAATCTAAACATAATCGTATAAAGGAAAATGTGTATGAAATGTTTTGACCTCATAGTCATATGGCTGTCATAACTTCATTGAGAAGCTGTGGGATTAAGCTGACTTTGAAAACTACAGACAAGCAGACAGCTGGGCTTGTGTTGTGGCACAACGGGTTTTAACCTACTACGTCAACACCCCCATCCAGACTGGGTCTCAGCTATTCCACTTCCATTCTGGCTTCCTGCTAATGCACCTGGGAAGGCAGCACTGATGGACTGTATATACACTGATGTACTTGGGCCTCTCACCAATGCGGGAGACTCGGATAGATCGAGTTCCTGGCTCCTGATTTCAGCCTGCTGCAAACCTGGCTGTAGAAGCCATTTGGGGATTGAACTGGTAGACAGAGGATGTCTATCAACCTGCCTTTCAAACCATGATAAAAGGCGGAACATGGCTCCTTGAGCACTTAAGTCGTGACCCACCCCTGTATTTCCATATGGGTAATATGTTTTCTAATTTTTGAAAAAACACTAGTTTTAATTCACACTGATTTTGTGGAACCTCCTTACATCTTACAAAGTACAAGCCCTCAGATCTACAATGGAAAAGTGAAAAAACCATAAGTCAAAAGTATTTAATTGCTGAAAACCAATACTTCCCAAAGAAAAAAACGGCATTACACTCACCTAGCTGTGTACATTTTACAAACAAAACATTTTCGGGTCCAAAGCCAGTGCTTCTTGATGAGAAGGGGATAAAGTGTCCTATCCAAGCAGTCGTCATGATGCACAAGCCTTTTGTTCATAAGAAAATAAACATATTAAAGTGCAATTTCTTAAGATCTATAAAGGATTAAATATATCAAAATTAGATAATTTTTCAGTTCTGCTTATAGAAGATTAGGTAAACTGACTTGTAACACCAAGTCTGAATTGTATTCCACGAAATCCTCCCTTCAAAAGAACATTTTGGGTTGAGAGGTTTTCTTTCCTGTGGGACATCCAACAGCTAGCTTTGAATGTATTCTTTTTTTATTTTTTATTTTTGACAGGCAGAGTGGACAGTGAGAGAGACAGAGAGAAAGGTCTTCCTTTGCCGTTGGTTTACCCTCCAATGGCCGGCGCACTGCAGCTGGCGCACCGCGCTGATCCGATGGCAGGAGCCAGGTGCTTATCCTGGTCTCCCATGGGGTGCAGGGCCCAAGCACTTGGGCCATCCTCCACTGCACTACCTGGCCACAGCAGAGAGCTGGCCTGGAAGAGGGGCAACCGGGACAGAATCCGGCGCCCTGACCGGGACTAGAACCCAGTGTGCCAGCGCCGCAAGGTGGAGGATTAGCCTAGTGAGCCGCGGCGCCGGCCAGCTTTAAATGTATTCTATCACATAATCCTTGGGGTTGCTTCACAATTGCTACTCAGTGATATTTTTATCCAGATTACCTCTTTGTTACAACATAGCTATTTTTTTTTTATTATCCCCTTTAGGATAATCCAAATCTGGCTTTTGGTATGATTGAGCTGGCAGGATTTTAGTTTTAGGTGTGAGAATTGAGAAACTAGATTTTAATAAAATGCAGTCAATCCCTACTCTGTCACTAACCAGGTATATGGCTTTAGAAAAAATCCTTAAATCATGATGGATTTCAGGATCTTCATCTGAAGAATGAAATGACTGCACAAAATTATTCTAAAGGTCCCTGCCAATTCTAAAATTTGATTCTTAAAAGCTTAAACAGTAGGAGCCGGCCTTGTAGCATAGTGGGTAAAGCTGCTGCCTGCCACAATGCCATCTCATATGTATAGCACCAGTTTTTGTCTCCGCTGCTCCACATCAATCCAGCTCCCTGCTAATGTGCCTGGGAAAAGAAGTGGAAGATGGCCCAAGTGTCTGGGCCCCTGTCACCCATAAAGCTCCTGGCTCCTGGTTTCAGTCTGGTCCAGTGCTGGCTGTTGTGGCCATCTAGGGAGTGAACCAGCAGATGGAAGATCTTTTTCTGTCTCCCCTCACTTTCTAACTTTGACTTTCAAAATAAATCTTAAAAATAGAAAAAAAATAAAAATTAAACAGTAGCAGGGGCCAGCATTGTGGTACAGCAGATTAAGCTGCTGCTTCAGATATGGGCATCCCATATAGAAGTCCCAGTTTAAGCCCTAGCTGCTCTGCTTCCAATCCAGCTTCCTGCTAAGGCACCTGGAAAGGCAGCAGATGATGGCCCAAATACTCAGGTCCCTGTCACCCACAAAGGAAAGCCAATCAAGTTCCTGGGTCCTCCTGGCTTCAGCCTGACCCAGACCTGGCCTGCTGTGACCATTTGGGGAGTGAACCAGAAGATGGATGATCTGTCTCTCAAATAAGTCTTTTTTTTTTTTTTTTAAGATTTATTTATTTATTTGAAAGGCAGAGTTAGAGGCAGAGCATAGAGAGAGTCTTCTATCTGCTGGTTCACTCCCCAAATGGCTGCAACAGCCAGAGCTGGGCTGATCGAAGCCAGGAGCCAGGAGCTTCTTCCAGGCCTCCCATGTGAGTGCAGGGGCCCAAGGAGTTGGCTCATCTACCGCTTTCCAATCCATAGCAGAAAGGTGGATCGGAAGTGGAGCAGCTAGGACTCAAGCCATCGCCCATATGGAATGCCGGCACTGCAGGCAGAGGCTTTACCTGCTATGCCACATCACTGGCCCCTCAAGTCTTCTTTAAAAATGGTAGTAATATATTTAAATTCACCATCAGAAAACAATTGAGCTTCTTGTTTAAATTGTCTATAAAATTTCTCAACATCCCACACTGCCAACTTTTAATAAATACAAACTGCTTTTTCTTTAGCAATGAAATACATCATTGTTTATTTTGTTGGTCAGTGCATCAAGAAATGTCCTTGCATTTAAGGGCTACGTCTCTTCCTTCAGCAGGCCATGAAGGTAGACTGTGTGACCTTCCACCCTGTGTTCATTATGAGGAAGGCACATTCTCGGGTCATGCAGGAGGAACAGCCTTACAAGGACATAAACATCCTACAGATCATATTGCAAGTCACACAAATGTAAGGTTTATGTGATCCCTTGGCTCTTGTCTCACCAATCTCTCCTACAGGCAACGATTTCTTTAGAATTCAGCTCAACTCACCTGTGTAGAGCTACTATAATTTTAGGTAAGCAGAAACTTAATGTTTAAATTGTGACAAATTAACACCACTTCCACCTAAGCCACATAACCAACCTCACTTTTTTTTTGGACAGGCAGAGTTAGAAAGAGAGAGAGAGAGAGAGAGAAACAGAGGTCTTCCTTCCATTGGTTCACTCCCCAAATGGCTGCTGCGGCCAGGGCGCTGCGCCGATCCAAAACCAGGAGCCTGGAGCTTCTTCCTGGTCTGCTATGCGGGTGCAGGGCCCAAGCACTTGGGTCATCTTTCACTGCCTTCCTGGGCCATAGCAGAGAGCTGGTCTGGAAGAGGAGCAACCGGGACAGAACCAGTGTCCCAACCGGGACTAGAACTCGGGGTGCCAGTGCAACAGGCAGAGGACTAGCCAAGTGAGCCGTGGCGCCAGCCAACTTCACTTTTCTTTCACTGTGTAACTTTTTTCTAGCTACTTATTCTCTCTTGCTTACATCCGCTTATTTTTCAGCATGCTTGTCACTGATTCAGGTCCTTATTTTCTGATTAAATGCTGAAAATACTTTCCATATGGGGTAAACATCAATAGGAGGTCTATCAGTTTGATTCCCCGTCCCCAGGCAAGCTTCTGAGTCCTCCATGCTCCTTGGTTCCAGTCTCTGAACCAAGCTTATCTGGATCTGCCATGCAGCTAGCACTGGTGTTCCCTCTGTCCATCTTTCTGAGAAGCCCTTTGGGGCTGCTCTCTGCTCTGCACTGCCTTGTTCATAGTTACTCTCGGTGTGAAGGACGTCCTCAGGAAGCTTCCTGAGAAGGAATGCATAGCATATAAAATTCTGAGGACCAGTCACTAAGTTCCAAAGAAGTAGAAGCAGGGACTCTGTAAAAGAGTCAATGTCTATGACTGATACAATAAAAACATGGATATATTATCGCTCCATGAAAAACTTAAAAATGCTCTCAGAAAATGAACCAGCAGAGCAGAGCTTATTCCTACATATTGGTCCTTCGTAGGCTGATACTTCCTTAAGGTGGAAATGAAGAGTCTTAGGAGGAATAAAGGTAACAGCTATGGAAAAACAAACAAAAACCATAACCCCTCCAAATCTCTTTGAGGCCATTTAGCTTCTGCCCAATTAAAATCTTTGTTGAAACTAATTAAGACTGAACATTTGTCAAATATTAGAATTACTTTTCCTTTCCCCCAGTTCCTTTTCTGTCCTTCAAATTTTGGCAAAAGGACAAGATACCCAGAATTATAGTTGCAAATGTACAAAGGGCCTGTATGCCTATCTGATAAACAGAATGGATAGCTACTACCTGAATAACAGCTATTTAATATAGAAATGGAGACATTTTAAAAGTAATTACATATTTTAACCCTGCAATAAATAATAAAGTATTTTTAATAGATTTTCAAAAATATGACCAACAGAGTTACAGATCGACACAGAGAGTTGGCCATTGCATAGGAAACACACATTCATTTTTGCTGCTCTCAAACCAAGCTGCCACGATGAGTTTTGCTGTTAACCACCTCTACTTTTATATTGTGAAATAAAGAGAAGGAAATATTGTGAATGCTGCCACTAACCTTATGTCGGTAATGACCACAACATGTTCACAATCTCCCTGGTGACAGTACAAGTAAGGAAAGCCCAGTTTAATATGCAAGTCATTGAAGGTGAAATCTTCCATTCTGGCAGTCTGAAACTTCCCATAGCCTCTATCATGGGACTCTGACCACTCAATGATGGTGCTGAGGGAAGAAAAGACAAGGATATAGCACACTGCTCCACAAAAACTTAAAAACGACAGAAGAGGGTTTGGGACTGCAGGATTTCCTATAACCTGGCTCACCTATTTAACAGGACAACTGCCATTTTGACATCAATTCCACAAACACTAAGTTCTTCCTTACCTGTTACAGCAGCAGTTCTCAAAATGTGGTCCCTGTGGACAAATCTGCCTTTGCAATAATACTAAGGTGTTACCTGCCATTTTCAACACTGACCTCTCCAGGAAGTGAGTTTTCTGGAGGCTATGTGATATCTATCACTTCAGTTTGGATGTAAAATGTATAATAATACCATTTTACTTTAAAAAAAAACTTCACATTTTCACAAACATGTTAACATACAATGAGAATATCTAATATTTTTAATACCTCTTAGCCTGGTGCTCAAGCTGAGCAGTGGCCAGACCATGCATGTGAATGGCCCAGAGGTGCTGGTGAGCTGGGGGCGCAGGATCTGGGCACAGCATGTGCAGAGGTGCTGCTGCACTAGGTGTCAGGGCAGCACTGGTGGACTGACATCTTGAAGCAGAGGAGAAGTCTAAAGCTACCCTGGATGAGCAGTGTGATGTGGCTGACCAGGAACAACTGTGAGATGTGTTTAGAAAAGCAGTAGACTACTTTGGAAGCTTGGACATTTTGGTCAGTAATGCTGTAGTGAATAAAACTGATTTGGTTTCTGTCATTAGTGTACTCTAACCTGGATTATGCAAGTAAGCAAAACACTGATGAAGGTAGTAGCATCACTGTCAACATGCCATCTTTTCTTAAACCTTGTGTTGATTGATTTGAGGGGGAGAGGGAGAGAGGGGGAGAGGGAGAGAGGGTGGGGGAGGGGAGAGAGGGAGAGAAGGAGAGAGGGAGAGAGGGGGAGGAGAGAGGGAGAGAGAGGGAGAGAGGGAGAGAGGGAGAGAGGGAGAGAGGGAGAGAGGGGGAGGAGAGAGAGGGAGAGAGGGAGAGAGGGAGAGAGGGAGACAGGGGGAGGGGAGAGAGGGAGAGAGGGAGAGAGGGGGAGGGGGAGATCTTCAATCTTCTGGTTCACTTCCCAAATGGGTACAACATCCAGATCCGGGCCAGGCCATAAACTCCATCCTGGTTTCCCACATCAGTGGCAGGGGCCCAAGCACTGTAGCATCCTCTGCTGTCTTCCCAGGTGCATCAGCAGGAAGCTGGACCTGGAGAGCAGCTGGGACTGAACCAGCACTCTGATGTGGGATGCCGATGTCACAAGGGTGGCCCAATCAGCTAAGCCATAATACCGGCACTTCAATGTGCCATCCTTAGCAGGATAGGTGCCTAATGCACAACAGCGTGTTTATGCTTCAAAGCTCAGCATAACCGGACTCATATGCTCAACAGCAATGGCTGCTAATCTTATGAGCAGAGTTGTGAGACTGAATACCATCTGCCCAGACCTGTTTTTTAATCCACCGAAAAAGAAGAAAATGTAGAACAACATATAGAGTATAAGAGTCATGTCACAGATGTAAACTGTTATGGAATTTTGGACTCATCAAGGTTTGCCAGTGTATTACTAACACTCATTAAAGATGATGCTTTAAATGGAGCTGTGGAGTGGGTGTGTCTAGCCTAGCAGTTAATACGCCTGCAGCCTGTATCAGACAGCAGGCAAAGTTGGATACCTGGCTCTAGCTTCCTGCTGATGCAGACTCTGGGAGGCAGTGGGAATGACTCAATGATCGGGTTTCTGTCACTCACATGGGAGACCTGAACTAATTTCCTAGGTTCCAGCTCTGGCCTATACCTGGCCCCCAGCTGTCAATGGCATTTGGGGAGTGAATCAGCAGATGGGGTGGAGAGGAGGCTCGCTCTCTTTTGCCTGCTCATGTTCTCTCCCTCCCCTTCTGCCTCTCTTCTCTCAAATAAATGCAGCCACATGAAGATCACAAGAAATTCATTCAAGACTGATACAATTCCATGATATGTAAAAACTCAATGAACAGCCATAAATGAAAATAAGCACAAATGATTTATATTCAGATCTTATCTTTATTTGAATACAGCTTTTAAAATAAATTGAAGCTTTCTTTCAAGAATTTGACATTAATTTTTTCTAAGTGATGAAATAAGTGAATAAAATATGGGAACCAAAGCTGGGTTGTGATGTTTATAGTCTAAGTTATGACTAAAATAAAGGATAGTCAAGGGATATTCTGCCCTTCAGAAAACTTATTTAAATATGCGATTCATAAATGCTATTTTCAGGGCCGGCGCTGCAGCTCACTAAGCTAATCCTCCGCTTTGCGGCGCCGGCACACCGGGTTCTAGTCCCGGTTGGGGCACCGGATTCTGTCCCGGTTGCCCCTCTTCCAGGCCAGCTCTCTGCTGTGGCCAGGGAGTGCAGTGGAGGATGGCCCAAGTGCTTGGGCCCTGCACCCCTTGGGAGACCAGGATAAGCACCTGGCTCCTGCCATTGGATCAGTGCAGTGCGCCGGCCGCAGCGCGCCAGCTGCAACGGCCATTGGAGGGTGAACCAGCGGCAAAGGAAGACCTTTCTCTCTGTCTCTCTCTCTCACTGTCCATCCTGCCTGTCAAAAAATAAAAAAACAAAAGAAACAAACAAACAAACAAAAATGCTATTTTCAGAACATCATTTTAAAGGAGATATTTGATTTATTTAAACTGGATTTAAATATTCACTATTTTTCTACATTCACATTTAAAAAGAGGGAAGCTACTTAACAATGGCAAATACTTAATAATTTCTATTTACCATCTTTAAAAAGAAAAAAGGTTTAATTTTTTATTTGAAAAGAAGAGTTGTAGAAAGACAGGGAGAGATCATCTATCTGCTCATTCATTCCCCAAATGACTGCAACAGTTGGGGTTGGGCCAGGCCAAACCCAGGAGCCTAGGTCTTCCCACATGGGTGCAGGGGCCAAGGACTTGGGCTATCCTCTGCTGCTTTTCCAGGTTCCTGACACCCATATGGGAGACCTGGTCCAGTCCTGGCTGTTGCAGGCATCTGTGGAGTGAACTAAAGTACAGGAACTCTCCCATCTATCAAAAATAAAATTTAACTCTTTGGCAAAGATCCTTAAGAGACCAATGATGAGATTTGTGGAGGTATCACTACTTTCAGAACTACAAATAAGAAAGTATTTTGAGAAGACTTTTGGAAACCATACCTGCTCAAATCTCTGCATTCTGGGTATCTTTTATCATTGTAAAATGTGCCTTCAAAGTAAAAGAAGGCTGATTTGTACAGGTCCTATAAGAGAACAGACATACCAAGATAACAATTGGCATTAACACAAAGTTTATATATCATAAAAATCATGTATCTATTGCAATCATCTTATGGAACTTCACAACATTCTCAGGTCATAAATTCTGTTTAAAAATTATTTTTTATTTATTAGAGATAGATTGATGGTGAGAGTTCCCATCCACTGTTTACTCTCCAGATGCTCAGGGCGAGGCTGGGGCAAGGGGCAGGAGCCAGGATTTTTGTAATCCAGGTACCCTACGTGGATGGCGAGAACCTGATTAATCAAGCCATCATTGCTGCCTCTCCTGGTCTGCATGGTCAGGAAGCTGAAGTCAAGAGCTAGAGCTGGGAACTGGACCTGGGCACTGTGATGTGGGACACTAGTACCTTAACTATGGGGAGCAACTGAGACTAGACTAAATTACTGGAACTAAGACTAATTCTATGCATCCGATCTCCCACAATATGGCGCTGAGAGACAGCAAACAACTTCTACGCAGCGGCAGGAGCTGATCCTGCCCCTGATTGGAGGAGAGCAGCGTGCTTGCCGTGTGGGCAGCAGAGCATGGCTTGGTGGAAGAGGACTGTAAAGGAGGAGAGAGACAACATGCACCAGGAACATCTGAGGAACATCTGAGCAACCCCTGAGAGAGCCGGCTGGCGGTGTGCCACTCCTCCGCGGAAGTGGGGAAAGTGGCAGGGGTGCCGCCCCTCCGCGGAGGCGGGGGGGCGGCAGCTAACCCGGGATGGCGTCGTTCCTCCGCAAATGGGGGAATGGCAGCAAACCCAGGAAGGGCCGGGCAAAGAGAACAGTGCAGGGTCCAGTGCCGTTCCTCCGCGAATGGGGGAGCGACATAATGGTGCCGTGACTCGAATATGAAACCTAGGAGGGAAGAAGCAGGAAAATATCGGAGAGACTAGGGAGAGCCTAGGGAAAAGCCGGACAGAAAAAGTGCCGGGAGAAGCTAGCGAAAGCCTAGGCATAGACTCGGATACGGACTGCGGGGAGAAGCTAGGAGAAATCTAAGATTGAAAGCGAAAGTGAAAGCTAGAAGAAACTTAGACTCGGATACGGGCTGTGGGGAGAAGCTAGGAGAAATGAGAGAGAAATATTGCTGGAAGAAAGCTAGGAAAAGTACCGGGGAGAGAAAAACATAAGCTAGGGAAAGTGAAGCCGCGGGGGTAGGCCGAAGCGGAGACGTAAGCTAGGTTGGGATTCATCAAGTTAGCCCGGGGAGCAAAAGGCGAAAAACTAAACCGGAAGTGGAGACGTAAGCTAGGTTGGCATTCATCAGATTAGCCCAGGGAGCAAAGGACGGGAAGCCAAACCAGAAGCAGAGACGTAAGCTAGGTTGGAATTCGTCAGGTTAGCCCGGGGAACTTAGACTGAAAACTAAACCGGTAGCGGAAACGTGAGCTAGGCCGTGATTCGCGGAAGCCGCCGAGCGCAGAGAGAGCACGCGGGGCGCGAGTAGATAAGAGTGCAGGGCTAGCGCGGAGGCCGTGGGGGTGAGCGCGAAAGGTGTGTAGACCGCTGAGCGCGTGAGGAGCCAGGAAGCCGCGCAGATAAGAGAAGCGCGGGCTGAAGCCGCGCAGAGCCGGGAGGCCGCCGCGGGGCGGGGCGCCGGAAGCCACTGCGGGGCGGACGCCGGGAACCCACGGGGATAAGAGAAATAAGAATGCCCGGAGATAGAAGTAAAATGAGAGGAATAAGAATGCCCGGAGATAGAGAGAAATAGAGAAAAATAAAAAAAGGCCTCCCCACAACACAGCAATGAGAAGGCTCAGATTCGGTCTGCCTGATTAGTAAGGTGATAAGCACCTGCGGGCGGCTAGCAGAGTATGCGCCGCAGGTCACCGAAGACAGGCACGTTATCAACACCAATAAGTCTCCCCACAACACGGCAATGAGAGGGCTCGGATTCAGTCTGCCTGATTAGTAAGGCGGTAAGCACCTGTGGGCAGCTCTAGCAGAGCAGAGCAGAGTATGCGCCGCAGGGCACTGAACACAGGCATGCATCAGCACCTAAAAACCTCCCCACAACATGGCGATGAGAGGACCCGGATTCGGTTTGCCTGATTGTTAGGACTGTAAGCACCTGTGGGCAACTTCAGCAGAGCAGAGCAGAGTGTGTGCCGCGGGGCACCGAAGACAGGCACGTATCAACGCCAAAGAATAAAAAGAAAGGGGGAACTGTGGGGAGCAACTGAGACTAGACTAAATTACTGGAACTAAGACTAATTCTGTGCATCCAATCTCCCACAATATGGCGCTGAGAGACAGCAAACAACTTCTACGCAGCTGCCTCACCAGTTTGACTGATGAGCTGCAGGAACTGATCCTGCTCCTGATTGGAGGAGAGCAGCGTGCTCAGCATGTGGGCAGCAGAGCATGGATTGGTGGAAGAGGACTGTAAAAGAGGGAGACAATATGCACCAGGAACATCTGAGCAGCCCAAGAGAGCCGGCCGGCAGTGTGCCGCTCCTCTGCGGAAGCGGGGGGGGGGGGGGGGGCGCGGCGCAGCTAACCCGGGACAGCGTCGTTCCTCCGCGAGTGAGGGAACGGCAGCAAACCCGGGAAGGGCTGGGCAAAGAGAACAGTGCAGGGTCCAGTGTCGTTCCTCCGGCGAATGGGAGAGGACATTAACCACTGGGTGAAAGGCCTGCTCCATGTTTAAAATGTAAAGGAAACCTACTACATGCCAAGTACTGTTCAGGGATCAAGGCATATGATGTGATCCTTGTTGCTATTTTCAATTTTTATCCTATTGCTGTTTCAATAATTAGGGTTGCTTTAATTTTGTATATTCTCCTGAGATTCAAGAAAGGAACCCAATTAGAAATTAAGTAAACCTGGGGCTGGCGCTGTGACACAACAGATTTAGACACTATTTGCCATGCTGACATCTCATATCGGAGCTCTGGTTAGGGTCTCTCCATTGTTCCACTTCCAATCCAGCTAATGCACTTGGGAAGGCAGCAGAAAACAGACTAAGTACTTGGGCCCCTGCCATCCATGTGGTAGACACAGATGTAGTTCTCTGCTCTTGGCTTCAGTCTGGCCCAGCTCCAGTCATTGTGGCCAATGGGGAATAAATCAGTGGATATCTCTTTATATTTTATTTTTTCTTATAAAATTTACTTGAGAGGTAAAGGGAGGATGAGAGTGAGAGAGAGTGAACTAGCTCTTAACTGCTGGTTCATTCCCAAAAGCCTGCGAGGGCCAGCACTGGGCTGACACCAAAGCCAGGAGCCAGGAACTCAATTTGAGTCTCCAACATGGGTGGCAGGGACCCAAATGTTTGAGCCATTACCTGCTGCATCCCAGGGCACGCATCAGCAGGAGCTGAATTGGGAGCAGAGCTGGTACTCAAACCCAAGCATTCCGATACAGGATGTAGGCATCCCAAGTGGCATCTTAACCACTGTGGCAAACACAGTAACTCATGGACAAACAACGTGAATTTCTATTTTTACTCTAGCAATCTTGCCCTAGGCACCATGGTCAGAGCACAGTAAACTCTTCACTTTCATTCTATCAGACTTGCTGTCAGAGGGATAGATCTTATTCCTGACTACATAACAAAATCTCAAAACCACCAAAGACCAAGTCTTGACTCGGACTCATTAAATGACAGTCTTTGAGGATGTGGCCCAGGCCCAGGCATTTTCCCAAAACTCTCCAGAAACAATGTGCAACTACAGCTGAGAACAGCTCTATTTAGACTCATCCTTCATCGTATGCTGAAAAATAAAACCCTGGATGAGGGTCAGAGACCTGAGTTCTTTTCCTTAACCTTTTGCTTAAGAGCACCGGGACCCTGGCTATATAACAATCTTTCTGTAGACTTCTGTCTCCTCACCTGTAAAATGGGAATAACCATATCTGAATCTGACAAGATTGTAGTGAGAATCAAAAGCAATCTATGGGGGTCAGTGCTGTGGCACAGTAGGCTAAGCCTTCGCCTGCAGTGCCAGCTCCTGTTCCAGCTGCTCCTATTTCAATCCAGCTCTCTGCTATGGCCTGGGAGAGCAGTGGAGGATGGCCCAAGTCCTTAGGCCCTGCACCCACATGGGAGACCCAGAAGAAGCTCCTGGCTCCTGACTTCAGATCAGCCCAGCTCTGGCCATGGCAGCCATTTGGGGAGTGAACCAGCAGATGGAAGACTATTCTGTCTTTCCCTCTCAACTAAATTTAAAAAGAAAAAAAAAAGCAATTTTTACCTATAGACAATATCCAATAATATATTAAAATATTTTAAAATCCTAAAATATCTAGATATATATGATATGTATTAGATAAATATAATCTTACATATATAAGATAATACACGTTACATAACATCTTAGAGATATCTGAAAATATTAAAATAATTTTACTCTAACATTAGAATTTCTTGACTTATTTGAGGCTTCTATTTTTCTTTCTTACTTATCTTCATTTTCTCTTTTATAGCTCACCTTGCATTGGCATCAGTACTCTCGCAAGTTGAGCTGTGCTGTTACTCCTTGGACCAGTCACTATATATCTCACTGACCCTCTACTTCCTCAGGTAAAACCTGAGAAAAGCTCTGACCTTCCTCACAGATAATTGTGGAGACAAAAAGATAGAATGTCATGCCTGTCTCCTACAACATCAAATCTGCCGTTTAATTTTTTAAAATTTCATTTATTTATTTGAGAGGCAGAATTACAGAGAGATAGAGAGAGAGAAGTCTTCCATCCACTAGTTCACTCCCAAATGGCCACAATGGCCAGAACTGGACTAATCAAAATCCTGAAGCCAGGAGCTTCTTCCAGGTCTCCCACATGCGTGCAGGGACCCATGCACTTGGGCCGTCTTCCACTGCTTTCCCAGGCCACAGCAGAGAGCTGGATTGGAAGAGGAGCAGCCGGGCCATAAACCAGCAGTCATATGGGATGCCAGCCCCAGAGGCAGAAGCTTAGTCTACTATGCCACAGTGCTGGCCCCTAAAATACTTTTTTTCTTTTTTAAAAGAATTATTCATTTATTTGAAAGTCAAAGTTATAGAGAGAGAAGAACTGACAGAGAGATCTTCCATCTGCTGATTCACTCCCCAAAAATGCTAAACAACCAGGGCTGGGCCAGACCGAAGAAAGGAGCCTCATCTGTGTCTCCCCCATGGGTAGCAAGGGCCCAAAGACCTGGGCCATCCTCCACTGCTTCTCCCAGGCCATCAGCAGAGAGCTGGACTGGAAGTGGAGCAGCCAAGAAGTCAACCAGCGCCCAGATGGGATGCCAGTATCACAGGCAGTGGCTTTACCTGCTATGCCACAATGCCAGCCCCTTAATATACTTCTAAACCTTTAGAAGAGGTAAACAAGGATTTTAGAAAAAAAGGTGGGGCTGGCACTGTGGCAGAGTAGGTTAATCCTTTGCTTGAGGCGCCGGAATTCCATATGGGTGCTGGTTCTATTCCTGGCTGCTTCTCTTCTAATCTGGCTCTCTGCTGTGACCTGGGAAAGCCGTGGAACATGACACAAGTGCTTGGGCCCCTGCACCAGGCTCCTGGCTTTGGATTGGCTCAGCTCCAGCCACTGGGCCATTTGGGAAGTGAACCAGTGGATGGAAGACTTTTCCCTCTGTCTCTCCCTCTCACTGTCTGTAACTTTACCTTCCAAAAAATAAAATCTATTAAAAAAAAAGTTATAAAGGATAACTATTGTATTGTTTTAGAAAAAACCAAGTTTATGGCCGGCGCTGCGGCTCAATAGGCTAATCCTCCACCTAGCGGCGCTGGCACACCGGGTTCTAGTCCCGGTCGGGGCACCGGATTCTGTCCCGGTTGCTCCTCTTCCAGGCCAGCTCTCTGCTGTGGCCCAGGAAGGCAGTGGAGGATGGCCCAAGTGCTTGGACCCTGCACCCCATGGGATACCAGGAGAAGCACCTGGCTCCTGCCTTCGGATCAGCACGGTGCGCCGGCCGCAGCACACCAGCCGTGGCAGCCATTGGAGAGTGAACCAATGGCAAAGGGAAGACCTTTCTCTCTGTCTCTCTCTCTCACTGTCCACTCTGCCTGTCAAAAAAGAAAAGAAAAAAACAAGTTTAGTATATATAAAATTTTGTTCATTATAAAATATTTCTAAAGAATTCTGTCTTACGCAATTTAAGCAACAATGTGTTTTGACATAATTATTAATTACAAGGTAAACTCTAAAATGATAACATTTTCCATGTAAATCTTAAGTTATCCATTAATAACGTTCCCTTATCTCAGTATATAAATGGGTATTATAGAAGATATGAGTGATGTGAATAACAGTTAATTTTCATTTTCCATAGAAACTAATCACTAACCAGTTTCTCTATATTGTCAATACTTTAGCTAGTTTAGCTAACCAAGTTCCAAGATGGTAGGGAGGGGGCAGGAATCATCAACAAATATGGAAAGACAATTTTAAGAAATTACTTCTGTTATTAACCTAATGTAACCTCAGAGTACACTGTTACTTTGTCTTTCCACTCTCCTCAACTAGGGTGGTAAATGGCGGATTCCTCCCAGAATTGCATCAGCAAACAGAATTAGTTCAACCTTGTTCTTCACTGAAAAACAGAAGAATCAACGCCCTTCTGCTCTATTAGGTAGCAATCCCTTCTGTGAACTTCGTGAACAGTCTACCATTTCGCTTTTATCCTTATACAATGGGTACATGGGGCTTCTCTGCCCTTTGAGAGCACCACACTGAGAAACACCAACTAGGAAAGTAAACTCTTAAGAATATTTATATAACAAAAGTCTAGCCTCCTCTGTGAAAAAGTTCTGAAGATAAAGGGAAGGAAAGACAGAACCACATGGAAGAAGACCATTTACTGGGATATTTCTGAGCCTACCAGAGTAGTCACTATGGCCTTAGCTTACTGCTATCATTTCCTTTTGTTTGATGGGGCAGGGCCATGAGTAGGGAATCACCTTACTTTGCTGATGTGTTCAGGGGCTTGGTCAGGAGAGTTGCTGAATTCTCCACCAATCTGGAGGTCACTGACACAGCAAATTGAATCCCTCAGTTCCGTGAGCTTTTGAGTGCCCAACACCAGCATCGTCTGGTAAGGTTTGTGTTCTTTGTGCTGAAAGTCAAACAGCAAAGAAATGGCTACCCAACCATGAATCCTGTAACAACCAGATCTAACATAAGTTTATTAGTTTTCTTAATTTAAGTTGTTCCCATAACTTGGGTGTTCTAACTATATTCTCTTAGATTCTGTATTTATTTTATAACCATTAGTCAAAGGGCCAAAGAAATAGTCAAAATTGTTGACAACTCTCCTGCAATCCAGAGCCCAAACTACAAAACCATCTCTTTGGTTTACTCTCAGTTGCAAAACCAGTATTTCCTCTGGTACCAAATCAACCTAAATCAAAGGCCAGGTATCAGACAACAGGGAACACCCCTGAGGCACCAAATCCTGCTGGAATTATTCCAACTAGTCAATCCCAAATAGTTTACCCTGCTCTACTGCCTTGCCTTGCCGAGGGAACCCCCAGTAAAGGTGGTAGTTCATGCCTTCCCCTCTCTCCTTTCTGCCTCCTGTCCAAGACTGATGCTACACATAGTGGCCCTGCATGGTATAGTGTGGCACAGCGCCTCCTCTTACCAAATGTAAGGAATAAAAATCTTTCAATGGCATTGGCCTCTTTGTCATTACTCACTCACTTCCATAAATTAAAACTCCATGGGTACAACTGGGATAATTGTCAACAGAACCTTTTTATTTTAAGCTTAAGTTTATAATCATGACGCTACCAACCTGACAATAGCTTTGGAATGTAGTTTCTTATAGCACCAATGTCTTAAAATTTCCTGGAAGTTACTTCATTCAAGTCAAGCAATCTAAAACCTATGTTCAGGTTATAAACAAAGGTTCCCTTTTTGGCTTTCTTAAATGAGGTAATTAGTACTAAGTACATCCCAGAAGCTTCATAAGAGCCTATTTATTCATAAGTGCAATTTATATATACTAACATTTCAACTAAATCTCATCAGTGTTTAATACACACCTACTCAGAGAATCAAGAATATATGTATACTCTGGGCTAGGATATATTTCTTTTTATTATTCAGAGAATCAAGGATATATATAAACTCTAGGCTAGGATATACTTCTGTTTATTAGAAATTACTGGATATTCCTCACTTCTTAATTTTATGCATTTTCATCAAAGAAGAGCTGCCTTTAGTTAGATTGGTAACTTCCTAAGTATTATGAATTGGTGAACAATTCACCACATTCTTATACCACCTACCTATTCTCCAAAAAATCCACAAGAAATTGTAGGATTAGAATCACTATAGATTTATATACTTTTAGTTGCTTCTAGGGCAGAAATCAGGTCTATATTCCAATACAACTGTAAACCTACTGACCAAGAGATGGTTTGAAATTTGACCTTATTTCCACTATTTCTTATCAAGACAAAAAACATAAGAACACACACTGTCAGCTCTAAAAATAAGCTGTCAGACATCATATGCTTGCATTTGTTTTAGATCCTAAGGAATACAAGACCTCAAATAATTAAATCCATAATCAAAAGTTACTCATATTATCCACGAAATCTAGAAAGTTTTGCTACGAACCTTATGAAATATAACAGGGTACAAGATATTCACAGATAGGATAAGTTCTCCTTCTTCAATCATATTTGCTGGATTTTCAGGCTTTTTTCCAATTGCATGTGACTCCTGAGGAAAGAAAAAGAGACTCTGAAATCAAATAGTATAACTCAGGTAAGAGGCAGTGTAGAAAATGGTTATCAGCAAGGGCTCGGGTCAGTCAGGCCCTTGGTTTAACACCTAATTCTACTGTAGGAAAATTGTTAAGAACTTCTCTGAGCTTCAGCTTCCATTAAAAAAATGGAAAATACTCATGAGTCTTTTAGAGAATTGTTGCCAAGAATGTGCACATAACGCAGCTATTAAGATGTTTAGCAGTAAGTGCTTAGAAATCAATGTTAAAAGAAAAACACTAGCTAATGTTGGAAGAACATTGGCATTTCCAGTCACTACAATTTTTCACATACTTTATCTAATTTCTAAAAAAGCAGTCTTACAGATGAAGCTCAGAAACTCAGGGATGTACCCAAAGTCAGGCTAGAGAATTAGTGTGCAAATATAGATATGTCTGGCACTGAAAGTCTTGTTGTTTACAATAGCATCACATCTTTATTGTATTTTTTTAAAGGATTTATTTTATTTATTTGAAAGACAGATTTACGGAGAGAGGTAGAGAGGTAGAGGTAGAGGTAGAGAGAAAGAGGTCTGCCAGGAGCCAGTAGCCTCTCCCGGGTCTCCCATGAGGGTGCAAGTGCCCAAGGACCTGGGCCATCTTCTACTGCTTTCCCAGGCCACAGCAGAGAGCTGGATCTGAAGTGGAGCAGCCAGGACTCAGACTGGCACCCATATGGGATGCCGGCACTGCAGGCTGTGGCCTCAACCCTCTGCGCCACAGTGCCAGCCCCTAATCTATCATATTTTTATATGAGCTTCATAACTAAAACATAAGGACCACCAATGTGGACTGGTTAAGAAGATGCAAGATGTTTTAAAGATTTATTTATTTATTTGAAAGGGAGAGTTACAGAGAGAAAGGAGAGACAGAGAGAGATCTTCCATTTGTTGGTTTACCCCTCAAATGGTGGCAATGGCTAAGGCTGTGCCAGGCTGATGCCAGGAACTTCTTCCAGGCCTCCCTTGAGGGTGCAGGGGCCCAGGGACTTGGTGATCTTCTGCTGTTTTCCCAGGCACATCAGCAGAGGGCTGGACTGGAAGTGTAACAGCCAAGACGCAAACTAGCACCCATACTGGATGCCAGCACTGTAGTCCATGACTTAACCTGTTGTGCCAGGCCCATAAGATGTTTTAAAAATAAGTGGGGGCAGGGCCTACGCTGTGGTAAACCCACCACCTGCAGTGCCAGCATCCCATATGGGTGCTGGTTTAAGTCTCGGCTGCAACACCTCTGATCCAGCTTTCTGCTATGGCCTGGGAAAGCAGTAGAAGATGGCCCAAGCCCTTGGGCCCCTGCACCCACGTGGGAGACCCAGAAGAAGCTCCTGGCTCCTGGCTCTGGATCAGCGCAGCTCTGACCATTGCAGCATCTGAGGAGTGAGCCAGCAGATTGAAGACCACCCCCCCCCCACCCCACTCTGCCACTGTCTCTCTGTAACGCTATCTTTCAAATAAATAAATAAATCTTAAAAAATAAAAAAAATAAGTGTGGGGGGGCAGTGCTATAAAGTAAAACCACCACCTGCAATGTCGGCATCCCATATGGGTGCCAGTTTGAGTCCTGGCTGCTCCTCTTCTGATCCAGCTCTCTGCTATGGCCTGGGAAAACAGGAGAAGATGGCCCAAATGCTTGGGCCCCTGCACCCAGGTGGGAGACCTGGAGGAAGTTCCTGGGTCCTGGCTTCAGATGGACCCAGCTCCAGCTGTTGCAGCCATCTGAGTGGTAGACCACCAGATAGAAGACCGACCGACCTCCCTCCCTCCCTCTCTCTCTCTCTCTCTGCTTCTCTGTAACTCTACCTTTCAAATAAATAAATCTTGAAAAAAAAAAAAAAAAGTGGGAATGATGTCACACAAAATGGCAGAGTAGGAAGCTGAAGCTTTAGAAGTTGTTCATTTGCTGAAGCAGGCATTAAGCCAGAGAAACTGTAATCAACTGTTTCAGGATTCTGGAACCTAGTCAGAGACTTGTAACAGCAAGAGTACTTGATGATTACAGAAGCTACTGCATTCTTCAGTCCCAAAGCAGATGTGGAAACAGCAGCCTGAGCTGTTGGAACAGTTGGCTGGTACCCAGACAGGCAGTGAGGAACCTATCTTCCCAAAACTGATGGTTATATACGGGTGGTCCCTTGATTTGGATGCCTGCCTTGGTTTGGGCTCCCTTGGTGGCAGCAGATTTCCCCAGCACCATCGACTGGAAAACTTAGAGATAGGACCCTTTTTTTCTTTTTGGAGCCAAACATTTAAGGAATTCGTTGTCAGGTCACTTACTGACCACAGAAGTAATACAACAGAAATGTTAGTGACCACACACAAGTAGTACACATTTTGCAAAAACAGTTTGGAAGAGGCACAGGCAGCTGCAGCCTCAAGAAGAAAAACCATTTTCACATATCCAGTTCTCAACAAAAACTTAGAAAACACATTAACAGGAAAATCAGAGGAACCAATCCCGAGAAAGCCCAGACACTGAAATTACTGGCCAAAGATTTTAATTAATTATTCTAATCAAGAATGCTGGGGTGGGGTGGGGGGAGCCAGCACCGGCATCCCATATGGGCACCGGGTTCTAGTCCCGGTTGTTCCTCTTCCAGTCCAGCTCTCTGCTGTGGCCCAGGAAGGCAGTGGAAGATGGCCCAAGTGTTTGGGTCCTGCACCTGCACGGGAGACCAGGAGGAAGCACCTGGCTCCTGGCTTCGGATTGGCACAGCGCTGGCCGTAGCAGCCATTTTGGGGGTGAACCAATGGAAGGAAGACCTTTCTCTCTGTCTCTCACTATCTAACTGTCAAAAAAAAAAAAAAATGCCCACTAAACAAAAAGGGAAGCTAAATCATCCTCTAAGAATTACAGCAAACACAAATAACTACAGGAAATCAGGTTTCTCAATATGATTAACAGCAAATTTCTCATCAGAAACCACAAGAAACAAGTAGGATGATGCACTTAAAGCCATCACAGAAAAAAGGCTATCAAACAAAACTATTCTTTAGGAATGAAGAGAAAATTAAGGTCTTCTCAGATCAACAAAAGCTGAGGGAGCGCATGCCAGCAGACCTGCCCTAGAAGAAACTCTACAGAGAGTTCTTCATACTGAAATGAAGACAACACACTGGGCAGAGGCTTCTGAGCATCAGACAGTACAAGTGCCTTCTCCTCCAGTCCTTTTGGTCTCGCCCTTAGAAGACAGATGACCTGGCCGGTGCCGCGGCTCACTAGGCTAATCCTCCGCCTAGCGGCGCCGGCACACCGGGTTTTAGTCCCGGTTGGGGCACCGGATTCTGTCCCGGTTGCCTCTCTTCCAGGCCAGCCCTCTGCTGTGGCCCGGGAGTGCAGTGGAGGATGGCCCAGGTGCTTGGGCCCTGCACCCCATGGGAGACCAGGAAAAGCACCTGGCTCCTGGCTCCTGCCATCGGATCAGCACGATGCGCCAGCCGCGGCGGCCATTGGAGGGTGAACCAACAGCAAAGGAAGACCTTTCTCTCTGTCTCTCTCTCACTGTCCACTCTGCCTGTCAAAAAAAAAAAAAAAAGACAGATGACCAAGGGAACCTCATGGGTTGGAAAGTGAAAAGCATCACAAGACACACCTGTTATGCCACCACCACAGATCTAAGGCCTAACACCTTCAGAAGTTGAGACCTGTGGCTATAATGTGGCTACTTGGCCAAGTGCAAGACAAAGCGTAACTGGAGTGCCAAGCTAAAACACGAAATGACACTGGGACTGGTTGGATGAGGCATCTAAAATCTGTATACCCCAGGTTCAGGCATGGATTTCATGAAGGAGCAACCTCCGAGAGCGTAGCTGGTGCAGCGTCCAGTTCATTTTGAGAATTTCAACAATTGGTCATGCAATAAATGTTCTGATTTTAAAATACATTAAAAAAAAAAAAAAGATACGAGACAGTAACTTGAAGCCATAAAAAGTAATGAAGAACACTGGGAATGCTAGCAGTGCTGGTTAACTATAAACGCAAGTATACTGCATTTTTCAATTGTAATTCCTCTATTTTTCCTATATTATTTCAAAACAGTTGGGTAAAAATTATTTCTAAATTTATGCTAATGGATACATAACACAAAAAAAGGCAACCTGTGTGCCAGTGACATTATAAGGGGGAGGAATGGAGATGTATAGCACAGTAATAGACTACTGAAACAAATTTGGTGTTATTAATGCTAGCTTAAGTTTTAAAATTTAATGGTAATTCCCAGGGTAAACACTAAGAAAATGCTTAGAATAGTTACAGAATATTTAAGAGAATAAAAATTCACGCCGAAGGGGCAGGTATTGTGGCAAGCAGGTTAAAGCACTACTTATGACACTGCACCCCATATTGGAGTATTGGTTTGAATACCAGCAGCTTCACTACCAATTCAGCTTCCTTCTAATGCACCAGGAAAGGTGATGGCCCAAGTGCTTGGGCCCTGGCCACTCATGTGGCAGACCCAGATGAAGTTCCTGGCTCGAAAGTTTTGGCCTGACCCAGCCCTGGCTGTTGTGGGGATTTAGGGACTAGATCAGTACATAGGAGATCTGTCTCTTTCTGCCTTTGAAATAAAACAAAAACTTTTTAAAAGTGTGTTAATTTTCATGTATTTGTGAACTTTCCAATTTCCCTTGTTACCGATTCCTGGCATCACTCAACTGTGATTAGAAAAAATACATTTTGGGGACCAGCTTCGTGGCACAGTGGGTTAAAGCCCTGGCCTAAAGTGCCGGCATCCCATATGGGCGCCGGTTCTAGTCTCGGCTGCTCCTCTTCCGATCCAGCTCCCTGCTATGGCCTGGGAAAGCAGTAGAAGATGGCCCAAGTCCTTGGGCCCCTGCACCCACATAGGAGACCCGGAAGAAGCTCCTGGCTTCAGACTGGCGCAGCTCCAGCCGCTGTGGCCATCTGGGGAGTGAACCAGCAGATGGAAGTCCTCTCTCTGTCTCTACCTCTCTCTGTA